AAAGGGACAGACGAAACGCTTCCAACTAAATGACGTTCGTGAGACGAGAAAGATCCTCCGAAAATAGAAGAGGCAATGCCTTTATTTAGTGGCGAGTCACATCCGCCAAGTCGCAATGTTTTTAAACGGACTTTTTACAGGAAGAACGCTTGTCAGGCGAAATCCCAAAACGTCCTGGAACAGTGACGCCAAACTATGCGCTGGAACGGGATCGACTCCAACCAGTTAGTGGGCACCACGGGGAAGTTGTAGGGTTCTCACTTGCACGTACTTGTACTGACAGCTTGAGCCATAAATATGCATCCATTACCAGGAAAAATTTGGAATGGGTTTTTAGTTTCACCTTTTGGGTGGGCAGTGAGTAATCTCTTTCACCTGTAGGGTAGGTAGAAGTTTGCAATGTGAGGGCCGCTCCGATGGTGTATTCTGAGGAATGCATAGTTTGTAGAAAAAAGACCGAAATTGTTTCTTAGTTGGCCCAGCCAGAGATGATCTAATTGAATCATGTTGCAAACACTTGTTTGAACATCACTAGTGTGCAGCACTGATCTGGTAACATTCCCGAAAACATTGGAAAATCAAAAAGACAGAAGCCACACTGCTCTGCACTTTTCATTTAGTGCAAATGCTACAGATTGTGCATATATAATTTGGAGAGGGTAGGTTTATAGGCAAAAACTGGTAAAAATCGTCTGCACACATGTGTACTAGGGTCAATTAGTTTCATGAGTACCTTAAATATCACTAATATACATGCAATCAGACTACCATTTTTGGACTCCTTCATGGGCAAAGGCGTTATCCTTACTAGTCGTCAAATGTATGGGATGCCACTCATAAGACACCGATTGAACAGAGCGGTTAAGAGTCTGCTGGATAATTCGCGCACGGTCTTAGAACAAGTCATGTTACTGCATCAGGGGCTGCATTCTTGGTCATCCTCAATTTTTTGAGTTCCGAGTTAACCGATGAGACTAAGGGTGATTAGGGACTATGTGTTGGTGAAGAAACGCAGTGAATATGTCCACTCTGTGGTAGGATAAAACTCAGCATTGAGCTTATCCACCTCCAAGTTAACAGGTATGTGAATAGAACTTCTGACATAGCTTGTTGTGTCAGAAAACGAAGATGTACCAAGCGTACATTCTAGTAGGTAGAGGTAGTACACACAGCGCTTGGCCCGAGACGACATGCTTTTCAACGTTAGCCAATTGATCAATCTACATTGTGCGGAGTTCAACTAATCAGCGTAAGCGCAAAGAAGCGAATCGCATCACTTTCCCCGTCAGGAAATTTACTTCTTGCAGTTTGATATCGATCAACTGGCTCTGACGTCCGTCTGGACGTGCGTAGATCACACAACGGTGGAACCGGCCCTGGCTGACTTTCACACGTATCCTGGCTGGACTGAGGCCGGTGCATTTGCTCGGTTAAGCCGAGGGACCTTAACGGTTAGGCCATTTTTCAATCGGTACGTGCTACGTCCACATGGATGTGTGAATCTCATCAGTGCAGACAGCGTTGGGTGAGCCCTTAAAACACTTCGATTGTTTCTCTGAATAAAAGATCCCGGCTGCAGTGGAACTGAGCATCAGGCTTAGGGTTGTCAGTAAGTTGCTGTGCGGTTCGAAACTTTGGGATCTACAGAAAATGACGTGGGCAGCATCAAGTTTTCTGCGTAAGGACCCTCCGAGCATTAGCTCCGCCGGCGTTTATCCTGTGGCTGCATGTTCATAGGTCCTGTATGATAGCCGTGCCATCAACAGAGCGTCTTCTCACTATATCCCTCTTAATTAAATTGCCTATATGGCCTACTTGAGGGGCCGGTAACGCCCGCATTAACTACGGGATTGTGTGGTGCAGTCCGGGAACGGTCTATGACGTTAGATGAAGGTTTGGAATCCTAACGACAGAGCTGTGGCCATTTATCTGTGACAACATTTCCTGTTAATCCGAGACCACTGAACGGACGCTTGAGCCCGCGCAACACTACAGGGGAAGTCACTTGGTCACATATATAAAGCTCAGGCCATCTGCCGTAAAGTTGCAACAAGTCACTTTTTCTTCTTCACTGTAGCAGTGGCGAATGGACCTAAAACATCAGTGGCAATTTGGTTTACTGCCTCAACGGGCACAGTATCGGTTGTACGAGGCCTTAACCGACAAAGAACTCTTATCCGCTAGCCAGTAAGCTTGCCAGTTTCAATACCTGCTGCCATACGTGACTATCAAAAGTGATAGTGGACTTTATTTTTGGTTCGGACAATACCAGGATGAGCCTAATGTGAGTAAGCAATTACGTTGTTAACCAGCGACGATGGAGCTCCCAATACAGGGCATCACATTAGACAACTACATGCGACGTAAATTCCCTTTCGAATTGCACTGTACAGAAAGAACTCACCGGAAAGTTGATTGTTCTTCGACAATCCCACTTGAATTTAGGCCGTGCTTTGCTGCAACGTCGCATATCTGGGTTTCTTGTTTTGTAGTTCATTACTGGTCTGGGCAAACAAATCGAATCCGAGAATAGACACCACTGCCGCATCTCTGAGTTCTTCTTTTCCATCCTCCAGTTCCAAAGGTAAGCGGAATAATCCATCCGCGATCGGATTCTGCCATCCTGGCCGATAAACGATTTGGAAATTGTAGCAGAGAAGTCGCGTACCAGCAAGTGATCCGCGTCGGGCGAAAACATTTAGATCCATTCTTGAAGAGAGTGATGAGGGCGGAACGATAGGTTCATAAGATTAGACAGTGGCCAAAGAGATAAAGACGCCACTTCTCGCAAGTTCACACACAAGCGTGAGCCTCTTTTTCGCTATTTTTCGCGAAGCATGAACAATATTTTCTCCAAACCGTTTTGTAGTTATGAAAGAACAGCACCGACGCCAACCTCGGAGATGCCAGTTGACACAAAACAATGACATGATCATCAAAGATGGTAACCAATGGGGCAGAGGAAATCCATCTTTTCAGTTCGTCGAATGCATTTTGTTGTTCACTTGCCTAAACAAGCGATGACTCCCTTTTTAGCAGTTTCCGTACCTGATCTACCACGGTTTCAAAATCGCGAACGTAATGAAGGTTAAAAAATCAGGTGCCTAGAAAAGACTTTGGTTCCGTTAAGTTGCTAGGTGTCCGCGCGTCAGCTATGGTATGGACATTTCCGTTACTCAGGCGAATGCCGCTACGTGAAATGATGTGTCCTAGAAATGGAATCTCAGGCGAGCTAAACACATTTTCATATTATTGCGAAGATCAGTTTCACTGAAGAGATGAAGGACTTTAGACAATCGCGCCTTGTATTCTTCCTTTGTTTGGTGGAAAACAAAAAACATCCAAGTACTCAATATGTCTATCAATACCTGCTGGGATGTGAGTCAAACGTTTGCTAGGTAGCGGGTGCTAAGCCCTGAATTATGGGTAAAGGTTTGTACTGAAACAATCCGCTGGGGCTAAGAAGGCTTTAAAATGTTACCAAAAACAACGATGGTCGTGATTATCTAACAGAGTTACGATGTAAAAGCAGCTCCACCGCATTATGTCGTAGTTTATTATCAAAAGGAGTCTTATGACCTGGAATGACCTTCTACACTTGCATGTCTGCTATATCTTTTTGCTAACTTGTCCCAATAGCGACGAGCATAATTTGTCCATACTCAGTTAGATGGTTTCAACAGAGCAGCGTAGATCAAAGAAGAGGCTGATATATTCAGTAAGGGCTTCGCACTGTCAAGTTAGATTGTTGTCCGTGGTCATTGAGACCGCCAAAACTCATTGTTGGGTAACTTCAGTCAATGTCTTGTGATATTAACAATAAGCGGTTGAATACGGCAGGATTTGAGGACACTGAGTGTAAATGATCATTTCCTTCGAGACGAAACCACCCGCCCTAGCCTTTCTTGGGGTGTGATGACTTCATCTTTAAACCCAGTCACGATGAAAGGTTTTCAACCGTTGAAAAATCTCAAACTACTGCCTCCTAATTGAGATCCTTATCTCCTTACTGCCCAATATTAGTTCTTTCGATGAAGTTTAGACGGAAATATGATTGATGCAGGTCAATTAAGCACTGATTTCGCTGATGATGAGGAGATTGCGTTTGCATTCGCTTGGCAGGGGCAGAAAACTCCGGAAAGAGACTGGGTCGGATACGTAAACGTAGTACACTCAGTAGGTCCCATACAGACAAATAGAAAAGGTAACAACATTTTCAGTTCAGCCTAACGGACGGCTTAAGTGGACACAATATCCCGTCAAGAAGTCTGAGCATGAACAGGCGCTAATCAAATCCCCCATAAGGTAGATCGATGACGACAGTGCTTACCTTTAGCCATCTTGTCGGAGCTTGGTCAATGAGTTGATTAACACAGCTTTTTCCGGTTGTCACTCAGAAGCAGAGAGTACATTTGTGTGCCGCCACGGAACAAAGGTAACCATGGCCAATGGGCATTCACAAATGAATCTGCGTCTGTACGCGAATTGTAGCTGGTGAACGTGGTCAACGCCGAGACATATGGTCGTTAAAATAGATGTATGAGCAAACTATGGATCCCACCATCATACCGGTGCGCTGTTACATATGAACTCTGTTGGCGGACCTCGCTGAAATGAAGGTTGTATTTTAATACGATCAACATATAGAGGTAGAAGTCTCATTTCGCGCACATGCGCGACTTCCAACACCTAAATTCTATTGCTGGTATTGTGACATTAAGCGGACAGTCGTTACGACTATTTATACATTTCTGGATATCCGTATAATGCAACCCTACCCCAAACATGTACCGTTCGCGGTAAAATGTGAACCTCCACGTTGGCATCATTGCATCGGAGTGATGATATCGATCTTATTGGGCAACTATGCGCACAATGGGGAAATCCATGCATGTCCGTCACACCCTCAGTTGGCTTCGTTGTCGTGGTACGCGCATACACGGCGGCGTGCCTCGTTAGAAAAGAGCGAGGTGTGTTGCAAATCCAACATAACTTTTGCCCAGGCTTTCCATTCATGGTTACCTCGTCACTTTGCCTACACAAAATGGTTTCGCCCGAGGACAACAGGTCAACCATGAGTTTACTAGTGAGTTAACTACTGCTCAGTCCACGTTGGAACGTTACTCCACCGCCGGAATATGTCCACAAACTTTTGCGACGCTTTGCACGTTCGTGGATGCATCGTAAGTGCTTTTCCACTTTTACCCATATCAAGATTCGTTTCTAACTGATAGTCGTCAGTGAAGTGCCACTCATTTGCACAGGCTAGAGTATACATATGTTGTGCTATGATAACTTCAAGTGTTCAGACGTGCGGGCTTATTTATCATTAAAAATGATTCTTTATTGACCATACCATATGTGCAACACATAAGGGAGCAATCTTCCATGTTGGGTACAACTCTAAAATCCCCTTAGAGCACAGCACAACTATTTCCAACTGCTTTATACGGCAGCTTCACACTTCTATTTTTATTAATTCAGGAAAAGCTCACTGGAATCCTTATCCTGGCCCTCAGCTACCCAAGGATTAGCTAGTCTGCGTGATATACAATTTATCAAACCAAATTAATGGTTTCTGCTCTCGACCAGAGCACCGGTTGGTGACAGTTATGTATCACAGCTTGTACATCGACTATGGGCAACGCTTCGCAGTTTCAGGCTGTTAAATCACTCAGGTACCTGGAAGCACATCGCGTTGGTTTCGCTTACTGAGCCGAGCGTTTCTAAAACTAGTCGGAGGTGAGAATTTGATGGTTTTGTCGTTCGATTGGGTCAGTGACTCATTGCAACCCATCTCATAGATGCATCGATCACCAGCTGTCACCTCACTATCCACGGACTATTCGGTTGACTGATTACTTAATCAATTAGTTCGCTTCACCTTGAATAAATGTGGATAATGTACTGACTCGCGTTATTTCTCACCTCCTTCACTCTACTTTAGCCCAAAAGCTAAGCCAAACGTATACCCGTGCAGCTGACTTCAAGAATCTGTTGCGTCAAGGGCGAAACGTTTGCACAGTTAAATCTTACAAAAACCGATTTGCATTCGAAGCCTTTTGAAAACGTCCCTTTAAAAATGCTGCCGTCACACTTCCTTCCCGGCAAGACATCAAGTTCTCCTCCCCATAAATTTTGGCCGAGTGTTTTGTCTAGATGGGAAAATAAGAGGGAGCTTTTGTTTGAGAACTAATCAAAAGAGCTGAACTTCCGTAATTTTCGACGAGTCAGGAAACTGAATTCATCTATTCATTGTCTGAATCCATGTACAATACCAATAAAACAAAGCAGCAGTAATTTTATGCATTTTAAAAAGCAAATGCTTTACAAGACTCAATGTGAAGTTTCGTTGATGTTATCGAAAACGTTACGAAAGAAAACAGAGTGCTTCTAAATGACCTTTGAAATTGAGTAATTAACCGAGGTAACAAGCGTTGCAAATTGTGACACGGTGGTAAAAGTATAGAGGATTCAGCTATGACACCGGAGATCCCGGGTTCGATGCCTACACTATATATCTGATATCAGATCAACACGTTCGACATTAGTCATGGAGAGCAGTGTTTTTGGGCGAGTAACACCCAATATTTACTTCTCAAAACTGTAAGTGCTCTGATCGGAAAAAACAATACTCACTTTTCCATATGTTAGTAACGCAATAGTCCTGTCTATCTCGTATTTTTACCGCAAGAGTAGGTCATGTGTAATAAATCTAAGGTTCTTCCCGAAAGTGAAATGAGGCGACCATTTCTCAAAAGGTTAGGCAAACGACCGGTTAGTGTATTTGTTATGCTGTACAACGTTTCGCTTTTGACTCAAAAACTTCATCAGGTGAAGTGCATTACCTTATATGTGAGTGACGTTTTAAAACAAGCACGTGTAAACCACATACACGGGTCGATAAACTTAGTCCATTGATAAAAGATTACAGCAGTCTAAGGTTACTACTTAGGTTCGCGTAAAATCCGTGGATTTCAAATGAGGTCAAATGGGAACAAAAATGCTGCTCAGAGGGTAGTTACAGACATGATCGGCAAGATGAAATGGTCCATTGGAATGAACTCGGTCATTGATGTAACTTGTCTTCGATACTTAGGGATTTGGTGGAGGGATGTTGATTGTCCAAGTGAATTTGTTCGTCTAGCATGCATCGAGGCTAGTTGGAAAAATCGCCCGATTTTTAACTTCAGTTGTCTCAAGAACAACGTAATTCCCAAACCGCTCACTGTGAAAGCCCTGCTGGATTCTTCGAACACTTCTTCAAGGATAGCGCACAAAGCAGGCAAAGCACTTCCGAAACAAAGGATGTACCTAAAAACTGCCTGAAATCCGCCTCCATGTGAGTCAGCTGAGTTTGGATTTAACGACGGCAGTGACACAACCAGGTTATGGCACTTTCCAATAAGGCCTCCGAAGTTAAGGTCGCAAGAGGAGGGGAGTCAAAAGAAAGACAAATAAGTTTGTTCATACATTTGATGGCTGCAAATAATAGGGCCGTTAATCCTACCGCAAATCATGCATCTAGTAGGAACTATTTTAAGGCTGTTAACATGTCAGGTAGGGTATTGAGTGTTACTGAGCATAGAGTTTTGGAAAAGGGTTTGAATTTTACTACCAATAAGTCCAAGATAAGGGCAGAAGATATGATTCCCGGAGTTGAAAATGCTATGACGAGACTACCAGTTGAAAAGGCAGAGGACATCCGTGCACAAATAGCAAATATAATTACATTTCAACAGCCGGAAGAACCTACTCTTACACCAGTCGAACACTCAGTTCTAAGGACCCTGAAGGAGGATCCTAATATTGTCATTACAAAGTCGGATAAAGTAAACTAACAGTGGTACTGAATAAAGCAAAATATTTGGAAAAAATGTGGGAGCATTTGCCTACGGGATCGTAAAAGGTGATTGAGCACAAAACGATCGCATCGGTAATGAATAAGAAGAAAACAGAGGTCGGTACTGACCTAAGGACCGTAAAAGACGGTTTAAGTAAGGGCAAGTGATTCAGTAATTATCCGAAATCGGCTATCCCACCTAGAATTTGCGGTCTAGCAAAGATACGCAAACCTAACGTCCCCTTGAGACCCATATTGAACGATTTAGGCTCCCCACACATGAGCTCGCGAGATACCTGGCGAGCCTACTGCAACGCCTAACAGGGAGAACGAGTACATTTATGAAGAACTCTTATAGATTTATACGAATGGTAAGAGATATGACCATTGCGCAAGATGAATTGATGGTCAGCTTCGATGTCACTTCTAGGTTCACGAATGTACCCAAGGAAGAGGCGTTACGATTAGCGAGAAGCTGCTTGATAGTAGACAGCAGTTTAAGGGACAGAACAAAGCTTACAGTGAATCAACTGTTCGAGGGGATAGATTTGTCTCTCGTCATGACTTATTTCCATTTCAATTGGAAATTCACACGCAAGTAGAGGGTCTAGCCATGGGGGCTCTAATATCTCCCGTATTGGCAAATATGTACATGGAAAAGTTTGAGAAGAAGGCATTACCAATTTTCCGTAGCGCTCTGAGAGTATGGTGGTGCTACCTGGACGACATTTTTTTGCGATTAGATATAAGGATAGCAAAGATGAATTGTTAACTAATTTGAACTCCCTTGATGATGCGATAAAATTCAGTATAGAACTTTAGTTGCAAAGTGGCACGCTCACATTCCTTGACTGTTTGGTCCACAGGAATGAAGGAACGCTAAAAAGGACAATGTATCGCAAACCAATGGACACAGACGAGGTATTTAGATATAGTTCAGGCCACCCTAGACATGTTTATGCAGGTATGGCGTCAGTACTATTTTGCAGAGCAAGTGCTCTCTGCGCGGAGGAAGAAGATTAAAAAGAAGCAGCGCAGAAGGAGACGATGTAAAACTTAATAGCTAGCGGTATCCAAGGCGATTGGTGAAAAGGCAGCTACTAACACGTATTAACCCACGCAGCATACCAAGCACGGCTTGGATAACGACAGTGGGTATTCCGTATAAAGTAGGAACTTCGGAAGCGATCTGAAAAGTACTCAATAAAGAGAACACAGGGGTAGTTTTCCAAAAGAATAAAACGCTACGGTCGCTGCTTGTGCATTTGTAGGACTCCGTTCCATTAGCTAAAACAACTAACTGAATTTACAAGATCCCATGTAAAATTGTGCGCAAGTGTATGTAGGTCAGACGGCGTGAGAACTACGCACAAGCATCTCAGAGCATACAGCACATATCACGACCTCCGAGGAAAGAGCTCGAGTATAGAGCTCTGCTCAGAGACTCGGCGGTGGACATGCATGTGCTAGACACAGAGCACAAAATTGGTTTCTAAAATGTCGAGGTTATTAGGAAGCGATTGCAATCCGCCCAACAAAGGCTAATTGCCGAGACTATAGAAATGACCAAGAACAATAACTGCCTGAATAGACTAAACAGAGTAGGGCTGTCTAGTGCCTGGGGTCCACTCTTACTCCGGCCAGTTTGATGATTTCCAGTAGTCCGGTACATTGTACTGTTTCTCCGCTGTCAAGTAACAGTAAGCGAATGTACGGCCGCTGTATTCCGGTGAGGTCATCCAAACTCAGTGCTCGTATTTTCGAAACGGGACTTTCCGCTGCAAAAGATGGAACGGTCGGGAGCCAGCCAATCCATCCACCTTTGAGGCTTGTATTTGTGTACTTACAATTTGCAATATTGGATCGAAGTAAGCGGCGTGGATATGGGTTTCACGGAACTCCCAGCAAACACGCAGTAATCTTTTAAACAATGAACCATGCTTTATAAAGGAGCAAAATAGCGATTGCTCGCCGTGTTCCGTAGGATGACCGGATTAAGGATTATAAAACCAAAGGTAAAGAATAACAGGAAAAAGTGATTATTTATGTTTCAAGTGACACACCACTGACACAGGTCTCCTTACCGCTACTTTACGGAGAGTGCTGGTGAGCACATACTTTTCTTCGTGTTATTTCGTCTTTCGATTGGAACCGACTATAGCAATAAATGTAAACGGGGTAGGGTTTCGTCAAAGCACTTTTAGAAATGCGCCGGTGTTGGGGCAATAATGACGTGAATTGGGAGGGGGTTCCATGTTTGCGACATCCAAAGCGAGGAAATTTTTGTCAGCTGTCAAGTTGGCTGTAGTGCGTAGCTATTTTGAGCTGGTGGCCTCTCAGGTTAGTATTTTGGCTTAGTTGCAACAGGTAGCCATAGGCGTGATTTTGGTTCGTCAGTATTAGGTAATTCAAGATTAGATCTTCCAGCTGACGTTGATATTAATCACTGTACAATCCCAGGGCTTAGTGTCTGCTTGGTAGGGCAGTGCAACAAGCCCATATATTGTGGAGCTTCGAGCCCATCAAGGTCGTTTTTGCGCCATGGACTCCAGGCTTAGATCACGAATTCTATGTGGAGCCTCACATAGGCGTTCATCATTTGCGAAAAGAAAGATGGTTCAAACTCTCCGAAAGTCCCATAACAATCCAAAGTGTTAGCTCGCTCTCCTCGATGCCTTTTCGACCTATTGCGAACAGCCATGGTGATCCTACACAATGTGGGCATGGCCGTCACAACCCAGTAGAAAACCTGGTGAATCTTGTGTTTTACGTCTGTGTTACTCATCCAAACTAAAATCAAACTATCGTGGAAAAAGTGCTCCTATATCCAACAATTGTCTGACTATTTCAATGTCCAAATGCACCTGCTGCTTACTGTTCCAATACACCCACTAACATTGTACTGGCTCACTTGAGCAAGTACATACGACCCACAGTTGGCGTACTTTCTGTTCTGACATGGCTAATCCCCTTGTTGCTTCATTTCTCACCCAGCGTCTATGTCACTTGTGTAATCAGTAACTATGCCTCTTGCCATCGCGATTACTTTTTCTTTCGACAGCCTGAACTATCCGCTGAATAACTCAGGTGTGCATTAAAGAAAAAAGGACGCTAAATCTTTTTCACGTCAAATGGAAATTTTTCAAGGATTTATTATTCTGTGCCACATATTTGTCAATCATGTGGGTGTAATATTTTGCACCATCCAAATTGGCGACATTCTCCCAGCCATGTGACCTCACCGTCCTACCCAACAGATTTTACGCTGAAGTTAACCAGAATTGATGACGAATGAAAAGAACCTTATAATAAAAACCTAAAAATAAAGAAATTTTCAATATTGGAATGATGTTCCCGGCAGCACAATTGGCGGAAATAACGAACTCCGCAACTTGTACATACGGTCTTCAAGTTATGGGTCGTGGAACCTCTAACGCACAGACGTGCTAACGCGCAAATGCTTGAGCTGAAAAACCACTGACGCATGTACAGATCTTACTGGACGACACTTATGCATCCCACTGTCGGTTATAATTTACTTGCATTTTTAAATAGTTTGGGTCATTCTGAGGGTTATTATTACTGGACCAGTTAATACCAGCATGCCCCAACATGCTTGTCCCATGAAAACAGCGAATACATTAGTAGCAGGCGTAGTTGTACTATTACAAAGTATTTGGCACTACAGTCTGCGTTCGTTTTAGCTGGTAGTAAGTCATTTGTCAGGTTTCTAATGTCCGGGTGTGTGATCCCCTCATTTTGGCGGTAGCGAGCCTACCTCTTTGAGCAGGCTCTTCAAAAGTGCTGGCAACTTGATATGGCTTGATCTTATTTATTATCGAAACATGGCCAGGTTATTTCTGTATCACGTAATGGGCTAAGACAACGTTGAAGCGTAAAACTTTGAAAATTACTGCTATTTCTCCGTGCATGAACACCTGATTGTTAAAAGATAGTGTGCCACACACAAGCTGAGTGACAATCTTGCGCTGCAACCTCAGGCATTGCAAACGCCTGTCATCGACACACTGACGTTTGACATCTACCTATGAGAAGTAAGCTGATGTGTTTTCTTTGCACTTGTTTCATTGATACACAGCATTCACCACAATAGTATGATTAATTTAACCCGATGGATACTGTGGATTACTTTGAACTTACACTTTGACACTTGATTACTGCGAGGTATTATGCCTCTGCGTCGAAAGCGAATTTTCAGTTGTTCCCTCCTCTCTTGTTTCCCTCGCAATCCCATTCAAATTCGGTCACAATCTCTGCCACCAAAACCAACCCTCGAATCGTCGTATCACACTACCGAACCGCGAAACAAACTCTTCACTTGGCCCTTCCCACGTTTCGACAATTCCTCAAAAAATCTCCGCTCGACGACGCCTGATGTACACAATGATCTGCCGGTGGACGATACTGTCCGCAACCTTGATGCTCCGACGGAATCTGATAACAAAATCCATGTGTCGCGTAAATTACGCAAACAGACGGTAGACGGCAATCAGAGTTTGTTAAGGGCCACGAGAGCAGGGAACATGGGCAAGGTTGTGGAACTTTTGAATTCTCGGGCAGACGTGAATGCTACCAATGCGGTGAGTGGATACTTAACATATGAGTGGTTAGTAGGTTCAATACTTTCTCCAAATCAGTTCGTGTACACTACGGGATATAGCCAAATGGTGCTTAGTTTTATCTACCAGATTACCCTTCCTTCCCTCGTTATGATTCCGCTATGAACATCTACGTTACGGTGGAAAGTACTTCATTCGACCCCTGGCATACTTTGGCCTTAGTGTCTTGTGCACGTGCTTGAGATGAGGTCAGGGTACGTGTGTGAATGATATCCTTGCAAAACCACAGTTCCCTCTTCATAAGCTGGGTAGGCAATCATTACCTCCTTTCGGTATGGCCCTGATCCGAATCATGGTCCTGAAGATTAGACAAGTGGTACGCGGTCAAGAAGCACTCATAAACCGATGGACACAAGTTCGATTTCGGCATCCGTACCTCTACCTACCCAAATAACAGATACCACAATATGAGCTTCCCACTCAAATGTCACATGAATCATCATAATGCGGGTTATCTTATACGCCCTGAGTTCAAATTGATCTGTCAAAATGTTACCCCAAATGTCTATCATATCAACGTTAACAGACTAGATTTAATTTATCGCCCTGTGGATCGTCTACTGACCAATTACCCGAAGCACTGAGTTAACTGTACGTCTTATTGGATGAGATGTTGGGTCCACTTGGATTCTTGATTTCAACCCGAGACACCGCTCTTGTGGAAATCCAGTAAGCTCGTGACCAGACGAGTACAGGACTGATATGACGAATGGGCTTCAGCCCGTTGTTCAGTTTGGCAAATTTACAAGGTGGCTGTCGATTTAGTCAAATTGTGGTGATTTGATTTGACGGCCGCTATCACTACATTGTTAAAGCTGTTAGTAGCTTGAATACCACCGTAGTGTGCCAAGTGTGTGTGTCCTCTAGGGTGAAGGCGACAAACGTTCTATCACAAATCTTGAAGGGAATTGCAGTCCGATACAATGAGCATTGATAAGAATTTGACGCTGATACAGGATCGTGCTTTGTTAACAAATAGTAGATGTGTTCTATCAGTGCATTAATCATTGGGCGTATGCTCCAGAAATTGGCCCCTTGCACAATTTCCCATAAAGTTAGCCTAGTAGACCAGCTAGTGACTGTACCTCAAATTCAAGGATTTAGGGATTAAAATATAACTTAAGCTAATGTACTGCACCTGTAGTACTCTGGTCATGTACCAGTATGCAAGGAACGAACTTTTCCTTCTGACCGGGTTTACGAGCGTTATTACTTTCTTAGAAGTTTGCACTTATGGTATTCGAATGAAGTGCTTTTTTCATCTTACCTTTTCTCATCTACTCACAAGATGATAGCATTTCGCTTGACAAAAGCAAACTCTTGATAAAATTGCGAACCATGTAATCCCATTGCAGGTGAACTGTTTGTCTCATCTAACAATCGGCTCAGTAGTATTGAAGTATGACTTTTCCAATAGATGTTAAACAGACATTAAAAATCAGTTGTAGTTGGCGTGTATGAAGACATAAAGGTCAGGGATTGGTCTCTGCTAAAGCTCTCAAGCCGGCCTAATAGTTGACATGAGAACTTCCGACTGTCTTGCAAGGCTAGTAAGTACCCGATCGGCCCGTGTATGCGAGTGAGTGACGATAAGAGAAGTCAAGAAAAGTCAGACACAGCGCTATCTTCTAGGAGTCAACAATGGGATGTGGGCGGATGAAGCGGCACTGCAACTCATCGCGCAGACTAGTGTAAGCGAATATGGATGAAGAGTGGGTACAGTAAAACGAAAATAAATTACATGTAATCCAGCCGCAATACATAAAGTGTAAACGGAATCTGCAATCTTATACAGAGTGCGATGGAAGTATGGGGTCAGCTGGTTGTCACAGGGCAGCAGTTATGCTTATAGCTATGTGGTTCCTAGACGGACATTGTCAGCGAAAACCAGTAGTGATTAAGTAGAACTCCAAAGACAGAAACGAACACCGCGCTGTGCTCACAATCGTTTAACCGCAAAACTACTAACTTGTATACATTATGCTATGCGGATCACGTGTCTCTTCGTGAGCATGATTTAGACAAAACCTACACCATAATCATTGTAAGCGATAATATTCGCCTGAAAGGGCTGAGTTACGCGGTTCCACTGCGAGCAAATCAGCAACAAGGTAGGAATTAGATAACTGTACTATTTACCAACAAATTAGTCTAACATGCATTATTGATGTATATCCCAAAATTGTTGATCTTAACTCAAAATGGTTACAACGGAGAGAAATTCGCTCTGAGAACCAACAAAGATGCTTTAGAGCGCTTATGGTACAAAGTGACTGCGTGTTTATGGGACAAGGAACATTATAGGACTGGCTACACACCCCAATAGAATGACGCATAGATGAACGTTAGAGTGCAATGAGGTCAACCTGCCAGGTCACAGATTCTCTGGCGCGGTAGAACACGATTGACCGATTATCGTAATCGGTGCACAGCGGGATGTGGGGACATGTGACGGTGGTGACGGCGAAATGAAGGGAACTGTGAATGCCGCGAAGGCAAATGCATACCTAGGGGTGGAGAGGCCTACATATGTCTGTGCATGAGGGAACGGAAAGACAGTTGAGAAAATGGGGCCACAGAGAGATTGGAGTCAATGACTCACATGGATTTATGATCGCCATATTTGCCGTACCCAATAATCAGTCCTACTGACCGTGCAGCTTACGCTAGAGCACTAGTAAGTTGAGAATTGGAAATCTCATTCGCTAACCTATGGACGGCTATTAATATGGTTTCAATCAATCGATCAAGAACTTCCCCTGGCCTGATCAATGTGGTCTCTCAATTGACATTCAAACGAAGGTTTTCAGTAAGCAGGTTTTGCAGCTACATGCATCGAGCAGTAGACGAGGCACGAATAGATAAGCAGGAATCACACTAGGTATATACCCAGATAGCACTCTTCACCTAATGGTTAAGAGATCACCTTCACCCATTGGTACGGTGGACCATGGTGACGTGCCCATTTGGTTTTGTTAGAGATTTGCCATACAGTAAAGTTTTTTACTTGTTCAACATCCAACAGGAACAAGGAACAACTATGGTGATAAGAGTGATCTAGCCAGGAATATGTCAGTGAAAGATAGCGAAGGCGATGCATAATTGCCAGCGGCACATCGGTGTCGGTGGATTTGATCTGTTGCAATCGTTGAAGATGCCCGCTAGGCTTCAGTGACTACCTCTTAATCGTGACAGTTTTGCAACCCGAGTGGTGTACCGTGGAATTGTGCCTGAACTTGTCCAACAATTTGTTAGCCTTCTATAGTGCAATTCGGAGGCAGGATACAGCATATATCATTGTGTTGACTAATTCCCCTCGAGATGGCAAGTCACGGTCCGATATAACATGCATGGGAACGATTTAACACCGTCAATCCAACGACCCCACTCTTGACGCACTAGCATCAGGAGTGCTGCAGTTACTGCTAAAGCTGAAAGTTCCAAAGTTGGTAGAATTTAACTGAGATTATGCGCACAGATGCGGACTTGGCTAGGTGGTCAGCCCCGGCATACAGGGGATCTCATTCAACATAAGGACCCGGGAATAGCAACAGAGAGAAACATGAGAGAAAGTCCTACCCAGTGGTCACTAGGGGAGATGCGCAACATTCAGAATGACACACGTGGAACAAACAAACGAACGAGTTGGGTTTACCCCCAACTTCAATTTGCTGCTACGGCGAACCAAGGGCGTGACACGGAGTTTGTTTGCTCCGTTCGGGTTACAACGAACTGATTGCCTTGATTTTATCGGTGAACTGCTGGAACTTACGTAGGTCTTTCAAGATGAATCTGTTAGCACAAATAAAACATGTGAACGTGTTTGTGACCTTAGCAAATGTCTACAGTGAGTCGGGAAGTTAAAAATTATGCTGTAAAAAACCTACACCGCATTGTTTTCTAGTTCAAGTGCGGTATAATTACCTGAAGTACCACAGACACATGTGATTTGACATCGAAAGAATCATTCCGACTGAACCTGGATCTATGCCTAGGCGCTCAGCAGTGAAAGAAGCGCTCTTCTGGAGGACTTGAATGTCAGCAACTAATTGCCTTTGCTTTACGTAGCTCGAATCTTGTCATTAATGGCATCTAAAAGACTGTGGTTAGCGGAATCTTGAATAAGGAAACCCATCTCAAGGACATGGAGGGCTGGAGATGGTAGCGGGATTGAAAATGAGTTTCATTAATGGAACAGGGTACTTGTGGATTTTTGAAATTTTGACCACCAATGCTGGCACGTTTGCAGGCCGAAATTAATGGGGGGAGGACGACAAGGGGGAATCACGCATTTCCTCCTTCACTCCAGAAGTATAAAACAGAGAAAACGCATTGACTGGCCTGTTCGCCTTATTTTACTTAAGATTCTTTGGTTGAACCACATTCTCTTCACCTTGGTAACAAGTACAATAAGACTAGTTTGCTACTCTCATTCAGCTCACATAGTTAAACGCAGGTGTCTGCCGTTAACCAGAGCCAGTCAGTTAGAAGTGCTCAGCGTCCATCGGGTACCGTACATTAGAGCAGGGACAGACGGTATGTCAAGGCGTCGGATCGGTCAATGCTCAAATCCAGGGTAGAAAATATCCACAGTGATTGCTCGAAGTGCACGAAATTGTATCACAATCCGCCTAGATATGACACTTTCCGTCGGGCAGTAAGTGCTTTTTGAGGCACGACTCAACAGGAACTTTCTCACACTTATGCGCAAAATAGTGATATCACTATTTCCTATGAAGTAGTCTTAAATCGACTAGCGTTGTCTACCAGTGAAACGCCATTAAAGGATGCTTCCGTGTCTAAGAGAAACCGCAGTTGCCTCTTCTTTACTTATGCCATCCGCTTGCTTCACTAATCTACTTATTTCAAACACAACGTAAGGTGACGAACCATTGCGTATCGGTTTGAGTAACTGCATAACATATCTTTGTAAGAAAGGACGATAAAGTTTGGCTCGCCAATTACTGAACCTAAAACGGCATACGTCTCATACACTATTCTTGCATCGAAGCTATATGGCGGGATTAAGCCCACGAAATGGGTCACTGAATTAATGGGATGGGGTGGTGTTCACTTGTATCAAGCAGAAAGTTTCTCCTGGACCCCATCACGATGAGACTGGACCTTAACGTGGTGCGATAGTTTGTATGCCTCAATGATCCATTGAGCTATACTGGGTGGTGCATTTTTGCACCTTCAGAGCCACTCATACCTGATTGGTCAATGGTTAGAGGCCAGACAAACTCAGTCTCCTAGCCCTCCAGGTTGGGGGTTGGAGTGAGGGTGGCTCCTTACTCCATAAAACGGACTCTCTGTAGTCCAGTGCAAAAACCCCGCTGCCTTGCGGTAGGGTTTTTGGACTAAAGGCTTTGGTTGAGAACCCTAATCGTTCTCCTGTCTAGGCCTGGGCAACCTGACAGTATCCTGCCCACGCAATACAATGAATCACACTTCAAACAAATTGCTGATGCTCTGGCCACCGCAGAGGATAATCAACGGTGCCCTACCTGCTGCATCGGGCAGGGTGGATAGGGGTTTGGATACTACTGCTCAAGCCTTCCCGTCTTCTTATTCCCCCTCTTGCGCTTTTTCACCCTTATCGTCCCGTTCCAACTTCACTTTTATCCCCCGTTTTCAGTCCCCCAATTCTAGGCCCTCCCCACCTTGCTTGAATAGTCGCTTTTCTAGTTTCAACTCACGCACAATCACAGCGAGTAGCTCCAATCCAGTCGATAAGTCCATGTTCAACCAAGCGGACAATGTCGGTTCATCCGTTTCACTTTGGAGTCGGCGATCCTCGCTGAAAGTGGCATGCCTCAACATGCGCACTTTGCTACAGATTGGTCAACAGGCAGCATTTGCCCGAACACTCGAGACGCTCTCGATCGATATTTGCTGTTTATCGGAAATCCGCCTGCAAGATTCGAGCTCCGTGCTTGACCTGCGATCCCCCACATGCGACACTGGCGGCACATTCTCATTGCGCCTATCTGGCAATGACGCAGCTTCAAAGCCAGCCACGCTGGCGTCGCCAGTGTTTTGAGTTCACTGACTGAAGCTGCGGTGATTGACTGGATCCCTGTCAACAGCCGGATGTGCGCCGTTAGGTTGGTTGGCTCGTTCCACGCTTCGTAGTCCCGCGAGGACAAGCGGTGCCTGTTCGTCATTGCGGCCTACGGATCTACAAACTGTAGCTCCTTCGTTACAGAAAAAGCACGGATCTATACGCCCAAATCGGAAAATTGTCCTCTTATGAGCTTCATCTGGGCATAACTTCCATCGATGATTCCGTGGCAACGGCTCCTCTGATTTGAGCACAGGAATGTAGTATACACATACCCAGAGCTGACGGAAAAGTAATTGTCAGTAGTGCATTCCAAATTATACCTGACTCGCGTGTTGGCACATTCGTCGGGTGATGCCAATCCTTCGAAATAACGCTTGGTGTCCAGGTAGAGACAACTGGCTTCTGTATGTAGGACGTACACATGAAATGTTGTATAAGGTGAATGGCCCAGCGGTTCGCAGTTTAGTCATCCATAGATCACAATAGTTTGAGCACGTCTAGAAACGAATGACGAAACAACGTCGGCCTACTCAAAGAGGAGAGTCAACGGTGACGCGGCAACAAATTCCAATGCTTTATAGCATACACGGCTTTTAATCTGGTCAACAAGCTAGTATTCCCTTTTAGGCTTCTGTCTAACAAAGTAATAAAGCTGCGTTAAGTAGGCTCGAATTTCCCCCCGGGCATTAGCGTCGACGTTGCAGTTGGTATGCTCTTCAAGAAAAATTGAGAAGCTAAAGATTTGATGCAAAGTTGTGAGTCAAAAATCAAACTCAGTAACCCGCCCCACATTTCCACATCACATCCCTCGAGGTTGTATGTGTGGAAGCCCCTAAGCTATTGTCATCATGGTATGGAAAAGTAGCTGTATACTCCGGCGTTCAACAGTGGTGGAGAATCTCTACACAATTGCTCATATTGTTATGCAACTGAATGTAGAAAAATATTCCAATTCCCTTTCATGTCATTCCAGAGCGGATGACAGCTCAATGCTCCTCGAGACTAAAGGATATCTATTGACATAATCTATATGGGGCTCCCTTTTGTGTAACGTACTTAATGCTATAAGGAATAATATTGTCCAAGCAATAAATTCCAACAAACTGGCCTAGCTAATCCGTAGATCAGGGTCCAAACTGTTTTAGCGATATGGAACTAATCCACTGTTAGTGAAATAAAAGTAGAATTAATTTGTCACAACACTGCAGACTATACAGGTAGCTCAAGGGAATTACTCTCCGCTTGGTTGCGTCTGGAATGAGTGTATGAAGTTTATCCTTAGCATATCCCTCAAGTGGCTTCTGATTGCCGTAACCGAAACTATGTTAACTGTTCGGCTTCCACTTTCCCTTTTGTATGATGCAGAACGGACTTACTGCGTTGCACTTAGCAGCCAAAGAGGGTCATTTGGAAATCGCCCGAGAACTGGTCCGGCGAGGCGCTGATGTCCACGCGGTGACGAAGAAAGGCAATACAGCGTTGCACGTTGCCAGTCTTGCTGGCCACATCGAATTGGTGCGGTTGCTGATCGCTAACGATGCCAACGTAAACTGCCAGTCACAGGTAAGTTCAGATTTCTCATAAGCTAAATATCAAATCCGTACGTTATCGTAGTTACAATTTCGCGGAAGCATGGTTTCTTCTTTTAATGACAGAAGATTTTTTTACTTACCGAATAGTACGATAAACACCTTGTAATAAGAACAGAAATATGACTGTTCCAAGGAACTTCAGGGACGATTTTTTGACCTTTCAACGATAATAGATGACCAAAACCGCCACTTTCGTCATACACATTATCTAGAAAGGTATAGTGGTAGTTAAGACTGGCTATACACCCAGTGAAGTGTAATGCCATTGCACTGCTTTTGCTCGGATTCACATGCTTCGTGTATTCTTGATTCAGAGTTATTCGGTAACCGCCATTTTCGTATTCAACTTACGCAGGTTGTAAACAACTCTTCTTCACTGATAGCAACCAGTTTTAAACATGCGCAGTCAGTTGGTTTCTTTGTTTATCCATTCATAGTAGGTTTATTTTTGACGCACTTCCACTCGAGGTCACATAAGTATGCTTACTATTGCAGATTTCTGCACTATATATATATATATATATATATATATATATATATATATATATATATATGATTACGGACTGCGTGGTCATTATACAAACACTGCACGGTTTTCAAGTAATCACCCATTCATTACACGTTCTGCTGAAAGAAGATCAGTTTGATTCGACAGCGAGTAGTGTTTATTCATTACTAATGTTCATATCATGTCTATGAGAGTCGTGCCAATCTCAAGCTCAGGGCCATAGTGTGCAATTCTACTCAGTGGTCCACCCGTTTCGGAATATCCGGTGAACACGCGAGTGATGCTTTCCGTCCTGATATGCCAAGTATCACCATGACAACCGATGATGTATGCAGCGGCTTCACAGTCCGTGCGGTATTTCGTTTTTACCATGGCTAGTTGAGCTGATGCTACAGTGCTGCCATGCAAAAGCGCAATTAGGCCACTTGAACAACGGAAACGAACCGAGGGTGCTGCATAGCATCAGCGGCAGATAGCCTTCTACCTTTTGGATACGACTCACACGAGTTGTTAAATATATGTTCACTCTATGTACAGCGATATCACTTTTCCGCCCGCCAACAAAGGTTGGCTTTTCTGACCAAACTCAAACTGTGGTCGCTATAGATTGAAGAACCTACACCGTTACCAAATCCTTGCTAAAATAATTAAATTGAGAAGGTACCATAGTGTGCAAATGGAATACTTTATCTCGCAAACTATTGTCAGTTGAAATGTTGTCTAACTCAGTCAGGCAGTTCTCTCAAGTGAATCTGCTCGTTTTTCACCAGGGGAGCCAGAGTTAGATGATAGGATTCCAGGAGCCATCTGTGAGCAGAGACGGTCTATGGCCGAATAGTATGTGACCAACTCTAACCGCTACTCTGTAGTGCTAGCAGAACTGTGCCTGGCTCCCAATGCATAGAGCTTCCCGTCTAGCACTGGGAAAGAAAACCCACCACACACGCTTGAACCTGATTCGATATGTGTCCCTTGTTATCGCATTGAACTAGAAAATTAACAAATGGTCAATAGCACGAGGTTGAAGCAATGAGGGATGAGTGCACTACTTAGGTACCCAGCATCAGGCTAATGGAAACACTGGCCGGCATTCCTTCCATGTAATAGGTTGAGAAGGCTACTGCTTTTTCCTATAACTTTGCGATCCTAACGGGAAACTCGAATAGCAGGACTCAGTTGACAGTGTGTGTTCTGGGTTAAACGGTGGATTTATTCATAGGTCCTCCTATAGATAGTGTTTTGACCTCATCCGTTCGATCATGCTCTACCTGGCTGTTTGGCTATGATACACCAAATATGGCTGTTAACTCACCGTCCGCCTACACAGCCGCAGTGAATCGGAATTCGCCAGCCCCTCAGGTCGCTGCTTCGCACAGCAGTTGGTCTTCTGATCATCGGGTTTCCAACCGCATACTTGTTGACCAGCCCCGGATTTCGTCAGTTACTCACTTGGCTGCTCACAGTCACCTGCACTCCCTCAGCTCTGTTCCACGTTGTTGTGCCGCGCGTGACTATTTGCTCAATTTGGCTACCCAACAACAGTCCCATGATATGCGTACTTAAGGTACATCCTGAACCATGTTGTAAGTACTGCTCAGGTTCTCATATCCAACATCACAGTGATTTGTAAAAGACCGATAGTCTATAGTGGTGTATTCGAGAAATTCAGCACATCGTAACACGATGAAGCACCCAAACTCGTACTCGCCCTCCTTCTGTTGTGAACTAGTTGTACCCACGGATATCTACCGTTGTGGCTGAACTGAGGGTACTTACTTTATTCGTCTTGGCACTCAGGTGCTCCGGATGCAGTATCTTCATTGCTGGAGACATGGCCACACCTGTCTGGAGTACCTCAATGCCTTTACTCAGAATATAATGGATGCCATTTGGTTGAATAATGAGGTTGACCATCTTTGATGGCCCACGAGCTTTACTCCGTTTTAACTCGATTATAATCACTGCTTGCTGTCCAGTCAGCTGAAACGTTTGCATCTGAACGACGCTCTTCACAACGGAAAACTAAGCTTAAGCAGGATTTAAGAAAGTCGGCCATTATTCACTTTCAACTTTGAAACTACTTCGAGTTAAGAGATGAAATCCCATGAGTATATCGATAACGTCCTTTCGCCCACGCTGAACAAAATCCTACATGGGTTGAGAGATTTTGGATCGGTATAAACCCAAACAGTGGGGTAAAAATTGTCAACGTCTCAGCATCAGAAGGGCTCTGGCCCGGCCGTCTGCCTACTAATCCCATTTGTTTCTTTTCAGTTTCACGGCTAAGTAGACGCTTATAGGGCGTTAGTGCTCAAGCGCTTCCACATCATACAGAAATTAGGAACGAGCGGTTGCTCGATTCACGTTGGATGATAAAAACCATCAAAAGCGATGGCTGTTCTATTTCATAGACGGTCTGTAACTCAACCAAATCGGATAGTTCCGTGTTCGTTCTACAGACGCAAGAGCAGTACTTTACAAAGCCGGTCGTCTGTAATCAGCGGAGTTCGTACTGACATCTGAGAAATGGATTGTTGCTATATTTTTTGGCTGCTAATCTTCTCGTAGCAGAGTAAAACATCCCCACCTCACTTGTTCTTATTAGCTAATTAGAATAGACAGTGTCTTAGTAGCGTGTAACAGGCATCTGCATACTGATTCACCTACGCTCCCTGTGGAGATACCGGTTGCCATGACAGCTGCAGCTGCTGAAAGAAAGTCTCTGTGGGGTTTTACTGAAGGCTTGATTGGTTGTGCACCACAGGATTGTATCAGCGATGGCGGAATTTGTCCCCCACCGGACAGCTTATCCTACCCTCGCGGGGTGTAGTAAGTGGTTAAAGCGAACATTACTCATCTAAGTCTTTGTCTATTTGCGCGCTCACTGGATTCTTATGTACATCTGTGTTCCACTTTACTTCACAGAATGGATTTACACCGTTGTATATGGCCGCTCAAGAGAACCATGTAGAAGTTGTTAATACTCTGCTCAATCATTCAGCAAATCCGGCCCTAGCGACCGAGGTAAGTCTCCCACTAGTCAGCACAGTACAGCTGTTTTCATGGTGGGCAGTTGTCTCTAAACCTCATGCAATAAAATGAATGAACTTCACCAGTTGAAGCTTCTAAAAGCAACACATAATCGTGTGGGCTCGCTCACTCTTTGTCACATCTTTATCCGAATGACTCATCACATGACCTAACGTCAAGATATTGTTTCTGAGAAGTGTTTATTGCACCTCTGGTGGCATTCAAAAATTCATTGTTTCGCGACATGTTAAATGCGTCTTATGTCGCACAGTCTCACACGTCTTGGAGAAACCAACCCATCTTTGAATAGCTTCAGCAGGATAATCAACCTGCGCGCTTCCTATCCAATCGAGCAGACGGCTGCCCATTCCATTTGATCACAGTTCTTAGCTTGTGCCAATAATTAGTTATTGGTCGTCTACTAGTTTTTCTATGGCGATTACCGAGGTGTTGATTTGCTCGTGGAGCTGAGTAACTTGGCCGCAGACGCTTAGCAATCAATCAAGATGGTTGGGATTTCTCAGAGTTTGGTTCATCTATGCCAATCTACCACACAGATGCCGATACTGTCCAGTGTAGACCCCAGAAGTTTTAGCCTAAATTCCTGGATTCCCTCCGTTGCGGAATTTCGAGTGCGGCAAGATCATGGCTTTTCCAAAGTTGCCATGCATGGATGAGGTACTCCAGATAAGGCTTACTAAAGGTTTGAGTACCTGAGAGAATATGGAACGGCCGGATCCCCCGAATGCACTCCGCAAAAGGCCAGGGGGCTGGTTGATCTTTTTGGCACTTTCTGTGCCTAATGTAAACTGCCAATATCGTTCTATATCAACGCTCCTAAATCGCATTCAAAAAAGCGCACTGTAAAATTTGTTCCCCCAGACTGTACCGGCGAGTGCACTGATGGCTTATCAATTCCAATCAAGTCAGAATAAGCTGTATGTATCAAATGGGCGCACTTTCACCATTTCACATTGACAACTGCCAATGTACTAAATCGGAAAAAAATGCAAAATTTCACACATGGGTAGACAAAAATGAAAAAGTTGCGCTGTCATCATTTGGGTACACTGTCCAGCATTCCAGCGTAATAATCACGCAATGTTCAACAGTATCCTCGGGATTTACATCCTGTCAACATGGCTGTTTTATTAATTTTTTCCAGCACTTGTTTCAGTTGACGTAAAAGTTTGTGTCGAAATCAGAAAATCGGCAATAGCGCCCATTATTTCAGTATTTGTATTTAAAAGGTGGATAGAACAGGACGGTATCGGTGACCTTGAAAATTGTTTAAACAGAATCTGTTAGACAATTCTTGCAAAATGGATATATCTACAGTAGGTCAGTTAAAAATGATCTTTGACGAAAGTTGCAACCGGCAGCATTGAAATGAAGCAAATTCTGAGTCTTTCATATTGTAGAGAACATTCTGAAGTGTGAAGTGGTCACTTGTTGCCTAGATGTTCCGCCAAACCTTGAGGTTATCAGCGAAGGGTAACATTTTCGATGTGATCACTCTCGCGAAATTGTTTAGGTAAATCGAGACTAGACGTAGACCCAATAATAAACACTGTGGCACACCTGACTGAACTTCGGTTGTGTCGGATAAGACGCTGTGAGCTGTCACATTCGGATGTCGTTGAACGAGGGAGTCACCAATTCTAGAACCTGATGGTCAATTCCGCAGCTCAGACGCTTACGAATATGAATTCCCTGATTCAGATTGTTGTACACTTTCGAGACGTCTAGATAAACCGCATCAACTCTCACCTCGGCGGTTTCAGTCCAAATGGAGCAAACAAGTAACAGGTTTGTGGTGCAAGACCGGCTCTATTGAAATCCGTGCCGGTCTCGTGCAACGGTTTTTTCGCCTCTCAGGTAACTGATAATTGCATCTGGTGTAATGACCATCATGACTCTGAAAAGCAGTGGAAGAGGTGCCATCGGACAGTAGCTAAGCGGATCAACGCTATTTTCTCTCTCGTGAAGGGGAGTGACTATTCTGTGCTTTCAAATTATAGGAACCCGCATCTCATCGAGACATCGTTGAAAAAAACGAGAGAGTGGTCCAGTCAAATCCACTGAAACCGCCTTCATGGCATTTGAACGGATATGCTCAGAAACAGGACTGCTACGCGGCTGCAAAGACAATAGCCTCTTCAGAACACTTGAGGTAATAAATGAGAAGTGACTAAGCCGTGATAGTGGTCTGATCTGCGTGAACAGTATAAGAGCACTACACATTTCGGGTGTACCGTTTGTGTGTATCCAGATGACGAATGTTGGGCGGAATTCCCGCACTACATTGTAAAGAGTTCGCTGACGTGTCTGTAAAGCATGTTGTGATTTGAACAATATTTCACAGCAAGGCAGTGAGTGCCCGTCATTTTACTTTCCTATCTCAACCCCTCTCCGACTTGGTGTCTCATCATGATCAAGACTGCATGCACCTGAAGAACTAAGGAACTTTTCAGATGTTTTTAATCCCCTTAGTTATCCAATCCCGTTCGGTTCCGCCGCGCGGACAGCCTAGTTAGAGGCATACTTGATTATTCGAGATAATTAACTTACGATACTTGGTGATTTTAAGTACCAACTGTCTAGTGCATTGAGTGGTTGACTATGCATTTCCGTTCATTCAATCAACTTTTGTCCGTGCGCCAAAATGCAGTGGTCCAATCTACCATGAGTCACGTCGCGGAGGCAGCATACATAGCAATAAGTTAAAAGTGTGATGCGTTAGCAACAAAAGTACACGATGGATAAGTCAAAGGAGAAGATAAGGACGCGAATGCAACAGCGACGCTGAATTTGCACTTGCATCGTGTCCGACAGACTACGTAACTAGTTGAGCGGCTGGCTCCGAGGACTCCAGCCATGAACATGACAATCTCATCATCATCATCCATCATCATCATCATCATCAACATCCTCATCATCAGCATCATCATCATCAGCATCATCCATCCTCATCATCATCACCATCATCGTCATCATCAGCATCCTCATCACCATCATCGTCATCATCGTCATCATCATCATCGTCAGCATCGTCATCCTCATCGTCATCCTCCTCCTCATCATCATCATCATCGTCCTCCTCACCATCATCAATACACGTTAACAGAAGGTGAAACACACGTCGACTATTGTGCCGCAATACATAAAGTTAAGACATACGAAAAAGCGAGATACTGGACACTAAGGAATGAAAAAATTTGCGTAACACACTGCTTAGTGACATATTCTTCTTCAAGCGGAAGATCGTATTTGGAGGGGGTAGTAGGCGGAATAGAGAAGGACAAAGTGACTCACAGCACAAACGCTACTGAGGTCGGTCCCTCGCCGTATCCCACAGTGTATCCAACAAAAAGTGTTCATCGAAATTAGGACCCCAGCCCTGCATTCGGGAAAAACCAACCGATGCCAAAGTTTGAAGTGAGGGTTTAATTCCTCTCGACAAAGTCACCGCTTGGCCTCTCCTCCTATTCTTCTATCCACCCCCCGTCGCACATACAGCGCATGTCGCGGGAGTCGGTGGACTGGCATGCGCAATACGCGGTCCAACCAGCAGATCCTGGTGCGCGATATAATGGTGCTGATCAGTTCACTAGCTCTTCCTACACCAAATACACGACGCCGAGCACCCTCATTGCTCACGTGGTGTTCCCACCAGACATGAGCTATGCTGCGACGGCAGCGATGTTTGAAGGTAACACCAACCCGAAATAGCATTTCAGTGAGTTCCATCATGTTGTCTTGCTGCGCCATTATCCTGCTGCCTAGAGGTTTCACGCAACAAGACACAACATCCTTGAATAAAACATGCTGGGGGTATTCGGTTGGTAAGCATGCAGAACACAACTGATTCATCGGAGGCGCTTCCAGTTCAACGAACACCCCAACAAGCCCGATCACCGAACAAAAGCCTTGCTCACGGATCTCAGTGGCATAGTGTTTATGGTGTCAGCCGTGAACAACTAAGCTCTGATTTCCACCCCAGCTCAGGCTATCTCCACCTGAGGAGTCCAAACCAGGACGAAACCGCGGTGGTGGGTTGCCAGTGTTGGGATGAGCAACACCAAAATATTTTCACTTCAAAAGTCGACGAAATTCAGTGCTAGCCGATCGGCTGTACCAGCAAACAGAAGTAATACTGCGCAGGCATCGGTAGCCGTTCACGACCAGTTCACAAATGTTTTAAGCGTTTAGTGGGCAGACCTCTAATCCATAAAATAATGCTGGCCGGATTGCATCGTTATGAACCCTCGTCTTAAGCGACGTGTTTATATTCTGTCGTCTCTGTAAACCAGTAGGGTCTTGATAAACCACAAGTTTTAGTATTGCATGTGGTAATCACCTCGGTGATGCGACCACATTCAACGACTCATCGCCACGCACCTACACCTTCACCAAAACCAAGGGCAACTCTTTAATCAGGGGAGACCAACATGATTACATACTTGTAAGTATGGCGATGTTTAAGCAATTGATGCCTGTTAGCTTCCTCGTTGTTGTTAATTCTGTTTTTGTAGCAAGGCGAGTCAGGGCAACTTAGTCCACAACACTTTTGTTTCCAATCCAAACTTGTTTAAATAAACTGGCCCTTTCAGCTTGGTCAAAACATTGCTTCGGATTCGTTTGACCTACCACTAGTGTTGACGTAATTTATCTTGCCTTGTCTAAAGCATCTGATCAGTAAAACAATCGCCTTCACTTTTTCAAACCTCTGAACTGTTACACTGCTAATCCTTTTCTAGGATTGATCAGGGATTTTTTCCCTCGAAGGTGTCTGGTGGTAAAGTTCTGCGAATCCATGTGAGATCTTATCTAAGGTTCGGTATTTGGGCCACGTCTGTTCTTTGCGTTTATTAACGATCTGACAAGCTTAAGGAATTCGAACCTATTAGTATATGCCAAATAGCGAGCAGGACCTCGCATGATCGCACACAAGTTCAGACCGATTTCGATTGGGTTTATAGATGATCGGTCCAGAAGCTTCTTATTTCTGTAGTTACGACACCATATGGATTAATCTTATAAGTTGAGCGACTCGAGTTTGCAGCAATATGCTAGTAAAAAGGATATAAGCCTACGAACACTGGAGTACGTGACAGTAATCCGAAGTTGCATCAAAAATTTGCTTTTAAAAATGGGATTATTGTGGGGAGCATTCCGACGCTTGTGCCCATCAATTTTCATACACCAACTCGTGGCATACTATACATCCCTACATGAAAATACGCGACGCAAGAATGGTACCCCTGCAGAAGCGAGATTTCATCGCTCTGGAAGTTCCACAACTTCGGGTGACCAAAAAAGGTAAAGGCGGCTTCCATTTTCCTTGTGGGCAGAGACCGTGAGGAAAAGGGGATACTCTGAGCGACAACTGTCTTTTTCGTGGTGACGGTAATATGGTTTACCAGATTTTAGGGGTCATAATCGCGTGTGCCATCACCTACCAAAACTCCGTCATAATAAATTTGTGATAAACCACTGTCTCAAACTGATAGACCGGCGCAGTTGCTTGACATGTTATCAGATCTTCTTACCTCTACGTGGTTGCCACACCTGTAATGATCTCCCGAAATGTGTAGCCTCTACTGCATTCAAAAACTTTTCAGACTGTGCAATTGCCCTTTTACACCACCTTCCATAACGTACACAACTCACATGCGCAACATGCGAAAATTCATACCGGTTTTACAAGAAGAGTCAAAGGACCTGCTAATTGTTCTAAACGATAGTTGAATGCTCTCATCGAAGAAAGTTTGGTCGTCAGATTTTCAGTTACTGGATGCTTTTGGCTTCTTTGTCAAGACCACTATCGATTATGCAATCGCATATAGGAAACTTAAACTATTTTATGCATAATATCTATTTGACCATTGACCATTAACATTTATTCCTTGACCTGATATTTGTTTCTCTCTTCAAGGATGGATTTACCCCACTGGCCGTGGCCTTGCAACAGGGTCACGAGCGCGTCGTCGCTGTCCTACTAGAAAGAGACTCACGAGGGAAAACGCGATTACCAGCGTTACACATAGCGGCCAAAAAAGATGACGTACACTCGGCCGCGTTGCTACTCAACAACACAGAGCTGAATGTGGATCATGCCTCTGCGGTGAGTAAACAGATCAGGTTTAATCACACGCCGGTGTAAGCAGTACAAAATGACTTCACACTTAGGCCCAAAGGGAGGAGAGTCGGTCATACTGCCACTGCATGAACTCCAGGCGCAAACTGTTGTACTGTATCAAGTGCCACCCCAGTGATCCTGCACCTCCAGAGCACAAATTTCCAGTGTTCCACTTTACACAAAAGATGGTTAGCACATCGTTGTGTTGGTTCAGATATGATCGCAACTTCGGTAACACCGGACCATGTGACCAGTCCTTGGGCCAAAGCATACTCAGCATAGTATCACCTAGGCCAGCTGTGTTCAAACTTCTGCAAGGAGTGTCACACTTTGTGAGGTAAAAATATGTCGGACCATATTCAGTCTGACATTGATAATAAGAAAAATTATATATGTACGGAAAAATCCAAGCCTGAATTTATAATTTCATGATGGGACCGCGGGTCAGTTGAGATGTTAACGCGGACCGCATTTGGTCTGTGGGCCGAACTTTGGACACCGCTGACCTAGGCACTACGATTGACTATCTACGTTAGGGCCAAATGTGTGAAACAGTTTGAAAGAACCCGGCGCACCTGTAATAGACTCTAAGTTGCCATTCGGTTGTGGTGTCATCATACTCTTGAGTCAGGAGTTTTTGATTACACGTTACACGTAAACTTTGCGAAATACCACATCAACAGGCGGTTACATAAAGTCCGTTGCGTCTTTCAGAGCAGCACTGTTGAATCGCTTCATCAGCTCGTTGTTATATGAAAGCGCTGATTAACTCATATAACGTCCCCACCCCGTCATTCGTTTTTCTTAGGCAAATGTGTCCAAGCTACGTAATATATCAGTGAGCAACTGAAGCGGTTGGACCCATTTTAGAGTTTGAAACATCCTACAGAACGTTAAAAGTGTCCCTAAATGAAGCCATACGGTGTTCCCTTGACCGTTTAATATCCAGTGATGAGAACCGCTAGATGGCATGATAATACTGGCTTTGAAATCAATTTGTTCATTCTATTTGCCCAGAGACAGCATTTTGCCTCGTCTTTATTCAGCCCGTCATCAACTCTTAGACGGCTTCCAACTTTGGCAGCAACCATGCGGTGCAACTATTTCTACGTGTTAGACCATGACCTTAGAATTACAGGGAAACTTTCCTTGTCTTGCAGAATATAGAAGATGTGATTGTACATCTAGCGATTGGGATCCCCGCCTAATATGCCTTCCTTTCATCTTCCAATCATCTTTGACAGAGTGGATTCACTCCATTGCACATAGCTTCCCATTACGGGAATGTGAACATCGCGAAACTGCTTATTTCCCGTGGGGCTAACGTCAATTATCGAGCCAAAGTGAGTGGTGATCGCTTTACCAGTGTTTACAGACTCATATTTGGACATTTTCGATCACCAGCCTCCAACATCCTTTCAGAATTCCATCACTCCATTGCACGTGGCCGCCAAGTGGGGTAGAGATGAGGTCGTGCAAGAGTTGCTCAGAGCCGGAGCCGAGATTGATGCACGGACAAGAGATGGACTGTCCCCATTGCACTGTGCTGCTCGTTCTGGTCATGTAGCCGTCGTGGACACGCTGTTGAAAGCCGGAGCCAATGTGCACTTAGTGACAAAGGTAAAAACTCCAGCTGCCATGCCCAAATTTGACAGTTGGATCAAACCAAATGATTGCCTTCTTCACTACCTTGCTGTCTGTTCAAAACCTCTATTCCTTTCCACTGTTTGCTTCAGAACGAACTATCTCCACTCCACATGGCTGCTCAGGGCGACCACGAGCGGGTGGCTCAGTTATTGCTAAACGCAGGTGGTAATACGGATGCTGTAACGGTGGTAAGTTTGGTCACATACTTCCTCACATTGCTTCCAAGAAGCTCATGTGAATACCCAAGTGAAATAGATGCTGAGTTTTATGCATCTCCATGCAAAGATGGGTGTCTGGGGCTGTAGCATTCGGAGAGCACGATGGCATTATAGTGCAGCATTGAACAGAACATTCAGATTGATGTGATAGCCCTGTCGGCGGTAACACTGCCATCATCGTCTTTGTGGCTACACAATCTATGTCAGCCCGGAACTCATCCCCATACCCTATGAAATCAAGTAGCCGTCTTTTTTGTCAGATTCCTACCCATGTAACAGAGTATTAACCTGGTCACTTTCATGGGAGAATATGGCGCATTCCATCTGATCATACTCAATCATACTGGTTACCGATCTCCAGCATGGTTCTAGCTGTTTACCTATCTTCCTAAGAATACGTTTTGGGCTGAGCGGATAGGCACTACTATCTAATGCTGATAGAACGAAAAGGCAGCCTACGGTTCTTCCGCTCGAATGAAGGCCATTCAGCTGGCTTCATCTGTGATGAACTGCAACTATCCTGCCGTTCTTCTCACTTTTCTCTTGTTAACAATTGCCGGGAGTTTTGAGATCGTCACTTTTGAGAGCACGCCTAGTAGCGGAGAAACTGCAAGCAGTCTGTAATCAATATTTTGGCACGTACAGCCTACATACCACGCGTGATCGCAATCCACGGCTCCTAATACAGGGGTGTGGCTGCATCCGCGATACGGCTAACTTTCATCGTAACTCTTCATAGTTGACAACGTACCAGAAATAGCTAAGCGTCAATCTCCTTGACTGCCGCTATCTAACGCATCTCTCAGACCGTACGCATATCCGCCGAACCAGTCAAGCGGGTTTCCACTGAAATGAAAACTGATCAGTGTCCCCCAATCTAGTAGTAGATTTGCGCCGCGCTTCGTTGCGAATCGTAGCTATTGACAATGTATGTGATCTAAACCAAAGTCACAACTTCTTGTCTTTTGCTATCGAGTAAGCACGCGTGTCACACAGCTCACTCTTCACGATCGCTGTACTGCATGTCTGCACTTCGCAGTATTTGCATGCAGGAGAAGAACCGAAGTGAACACCGGATCCAAGACACACGGGGTCTTCAAGAAGAATTGATAATAATAATGCGTTAGGTGTACGCCGTAACGACGCTTCGCTGCCGCATGACCACCATCAGTTGCGTGCGCAGCTGAGTGTACTGCGATGACGCCTATCCCTCCCGGATTCAAACCGGTGACCATATGCTTGCAAGCCAGGCGTGCAGACCACTCGGCCACCGGCCGACGTCTTCAAAAAGGATTACACAACAAAGACCACAGAGAGCCCCCCGGTGTTGAGGTAGATAATGTACTGGTCCATGAGCCTTACTCCCATATTCTTACACTAACAATAACGGTCATTGTACTGTTCTCGACGTATCCACCCACGCACTACTTTCCTTTATGCGAGATCTCATTATCTTACTCGGAAGATTTGGGTTGTGTTCTCTGGTCTGTCAGATTTATGAAGGCCCCAGGCATTTCTGATTTTAGCTGGACTAAGAGCATGAAGTTGCGGAGAAGTTCAACTGGGGATCATTACTCCACAACTTGATGACCTAAGATTAGGACGAACCCCAAGTATACTTTAAGCCCCGAATGCTCTTTCCGAATGTGGTTTGTCCGCAGGTTAGATGTCCGTGGAGAGGCTGTACGCAGGAGTTATCACTAGGGGAATTAGACAATGTGGTGGTATCATTTGTTGCTTGAAATTAGGCGACAGTTCGAAGTAAACTACAAATAACCATAGAGACGCGAGTAGGAATCGTACACTTATGTGAATTGTTGGGCAGCTTTTCGGATGCCCAGAGACCACTTTTGAGTAGGCACTTCCTTTCGAGAATTGCGGTAGTGACGCAAAGAGGGACTCACAGGAACAATAAACTCTGCGATCACTTCTATTTCAGTCTCACGTAGATTCCAATTAACACAAAAATATACACAGTAACGTGAGAATGCTCATTAATTATTCACGCTCGCTAAGCTCAATCCCAAGCAGCATTCCAGTCAGCACGGTCTCGGTGACGCAGTCTCGCTAACCCATGTGTACCTTCTGACCTAGCGGTTTCAAACGCCGGCTTGAAAGTTTAAGACAAGTTTAAGACAAGTTTAAGAGGATTTGACAACTTACTGCGTTCGAACAATGTCTGTTACCGCAGCAGCCAGAATCCAGCAGAATCTAGCATATTTTCTATTGACAAGTGGCTCGTTAACCTGGTTTAGTAATGATGAAGTTTCTTCATAACAATTGTGGATCTGACCGTTGATAGGTACAATGAAGTAACTCAGTGTACCATGTACGCCATAACGAACAAAAGGATTCAAGCCATCATCAGTTTTAACTATGGCTTTTCAGTGAGTCCACTACGAAACTAGATTGAAGACAATTACAGCTAGTTCGTTCGGGTTTGTAAAACAAACTTGAACGTAGCACTTTCGATGGGGTTAAAATAATAATCAACTTAGCTATCAAGAGCTGCTTACCATTTTACGTGAGGTACTTCGGGAACTGAATACTAAAGTTAGAGAGCGAGAAGGTATAAATCTGTGTTGTTCCACCGTAATTAAATCGCGTACTTGCACGGAATCACGTCGCTGATCCTGCGCGGCAGCAGCATATCGCAGTTGCATTACCTTAAATGGCTGCGATACACTCCCTATACCTGTAGTCCGCAAAGTGGGCGTCAAGGAACCGCTTAAATTCCGACACCGATTTCACTTCGACTAGCATCTCCGGCACTTTGTTCCAATATTTCACCACTCGAAACTTGAAGCATAGAGGGTGACCAGTGCCCTTTCAATCCGGTACCAATATTTTGTACCGGTGTACGCGTGGGTTGTTTGGTGCGCGAACGTGCAGCGGCGGCCACAACATAGGTGCAATATACGATGTGGCATAATGAGATCAACTCGAAGCCGACAATATGACAGAGTATACAGCCCTAGTCTCCTATATCGGTCCTCGTAATACATACCCCGTAAAGCGGGGACGAACCGGGGAGCTACATGATGGACTCATTCCGGTCTCTGCACCTCACCTATTGTGATCGGACAATAGGTGAGTGAGCCGTACTCAATCACTGGTCTTATCATGAAATCGAAAAGACGGGTGACAATCTTTTCAGACCAAGTGCAGAAGCTGAGTCTAAGTGCTAAAAGCAGGTGTGATCTGTTTACGTACAGTCTGTCAGTGTTATCGACAGACTTCAGATCACAGCAGGAGAGTAAACTTAGATCCCTTTACGTAGCTTGTTGGATGCAACAGTTAGCTAGCTGTGATGTAGATACGCCTGTTACCATCCTACCCCTGACTCATACATGACGACTTGACCGGATTGACCGGTAGGTCAACTTCAGCAGACCACAGGGACAGGCGGTCGAGGTCCTGTTGAAGGACGTCACAGTCGACAGGAAGGCGAAGTGAGTTATAGGTAGTAAAACAAATTGTAACGTCAAGCATGACAAAGGACCTCCAGATGTCTGTTCACTTTCCTACTGATAACAGGCATCAGGAAATGGGTATTTTCCACTGGGTCACTAAAATGTGTACACGGATGCCTTTGAGGAGAGTTCACTGTCAGTCTGCAGTGGTTCAACGAAAAATCGCCTACTTTGCAGGCTACGATGAACATGAGATCTGTAGGAATGTCAACTATCAGCTGGCACGAGTAAATTGCTCATTGATGCAGGTAAAAGTTTATGATTGAATAAGACCAAACCTATGGCGCACGAATGGTCTTAGGTGGCATCGAAACAGCTTGGGTGCCAACAGAGTTGGGATGAAAGCCATTGGCTGATACAGGAGAAGAGACCGGACAGAATTCATCGGGCTGAATTTGACTTGCGAAGCAGTGACGAGCAAAAGTCCGAATCAATCGCAGACCATGCTAGTGACTAATCGTCGTAACTGCTCGTTTGCCACAAATAACCAACCATTTTGAGTTCAAGAGATTTTGTTTGAAACATAGCACTTGTTATGCTCTTCGGAGAGCTGCTTGGCGCGACCATGATGCCCAGCAATTAACGAAACTCGTCGGAATTATGCCTCTTAGCATATCTGAACTCCATTAGCCTACTACAATCATAAGGTCACTCAGCAGAAAACAGTGAGCAACTCAGCATTTGAGGCAATTAAGGTGAGGCTAATTGCGGAATGCCCCAAGCTCTTCTCCAATTTCCCTCACATATCGCTTTAAAAAGGTAGTATTCCCATAGAAACTGGAACATCGAAAACCACTTGGTGGCAATAAATGAACGAGGATTTCTGCAATTGCCAATGACTACCCACAACCTTAAAACATTTGCTTGATCCGCTCCGTGACCAAATCAGCGGACGGTGCTTACACAAGGTTTTTTAATGTAAACCATGTGCACGACGCGGCTAACTAGAGAGAGCTAACGCCAGGATGCTTGAAAACGGGGCTTGGATAGAGTCCATTTCGCTGAGTGATCAGATGCAAAAGGCAGACGCGTTGAATGGATTAGTAAGAATCAGTTCAGACAGTTGCACAATCCCCAAAACGAGTGCTCGTTCAGGCGAAAGAAGTCACCAAACCCTGCACAGTGTGGATTGAATAGACTGTGAGCTGTTCATCTCCCGTGCTCATGTCACCAATTCCGAATCCCAGTGGACAGACCTGGGAGGTAAGGCACTAGTTTGATTATCTATTCTGTTCCAACCACTCATCCCTGTGCTGTAGCGAACGTACCTTCCTTGTCACTGTCATCGTTCCAACTGGTTATACAATACTACTAATGGTTAGGCAATGGTTAGGTAATACCACATCAGCTACGTGCCTGACCAGTTAATGTGATAAGGTTTACGATTGGTAAGTGAAATTTTCCCGTTCAGCACACTAATTGGTTGCTTTCAAGGCGTTAGTAATTCATAAGACCTTTGTCAGTTCTTAGCATATTCCAAGATTCCCGCTTTGATATAATATTGCACTGACGAGTTATTGTGCTGTGTAATGACACTACATTTTCGCTTTGGTTTCAGGACTACTTGACTCCATTACATGTGGCTGCGCACTGTGGTCACGTGAACGTCGCTCGGGTGCTTCTCGAAGCTCGGTGCAATGTGAACGCTCGTGCGCTGGTAAGTGACTACCCCACACATCGGAATTCTGAAGCCTAGGTGACACATGGTTGGCGGCATCCGACTCCGGATATGCCTATAACTGTGGTCTCCAAAGGACGTGACACATGACGAGATACGTAAAGACAGATAGACGCACTTTCCAGCGGTCTTCAAATTTAACTGAGCAAATAATCAGAAGTATAAGACGAGCTTGTTTTCGGTGCTTCTCATCAGACACTTACACCACGAGTAGGAATACAACTAACACAAGAAATTTAAATGCCATGAACCAATAGAACGAATTATTCGGTCAACGAGATTAATCAATAGCACTCACTGGCGCAACGTTAATAGAGAGGTTGCAGGTACCGTTGTTGTACGGGGTTTGGGTCCAGGATAATTGGACAACCTGAACGGACTACTTCTGAACGAATAAGTTGTGATTATGGAGCCGAATAGCGATAGCCTTCGCTTTCGCTAATAGGCAACATCGGGGTGCTCGTGTGGGGTGCCCAGATATTCGGAGATCGGCCGGAAGGCCTCCCGCAGGTTGATTTAGTGATCCGAGTCGGCCAACTGCTACAGCACCGCGCTCGCTACAGTCTTTCTTACGCCGGTATACAGCCCCGCAGAGCAATGCTCCCGGACTTTCTCAAACAGTCGCTTGATGGTCTTTCCAATACAACTTGCTCGACACGAGCAAGAAATGCGGTACATACAAAAGGAAACATTTGACTTTGGTATCCCGTCTACTGGTTCACGACTGGTTTGGGGGTAAAATTGACACGGACAGCGGCTGCATAGTAGGTTCGCATGGTGGCGTTGGGGAGCTTTCGGGTGACCCGTACCGCTAGCTTTTCCCCTTTGGAAGGCTGTGATCAGCAGATTAACGGCTTTCCTGCGGAGCCAGGTTAGACTTTTGGCTCTAATGGCTCTATGGGTCTCCGTATTGTTTTACGCTTAGTTCACCCAGCCGCGTCGACAGAAAGAACTCGCACCGACTCTGCACACAAACGCTCTATACACAAATCTGAGGCAAAGTACAACTAGCCGTGTATTTAAAACTCACTCGCCCACTCGATCGATAGCCTTAGCGTCCGCACTGAGGCAGGCGATTCGGTTCGCCCCAGCTTTCAGCCATCAACCCACGTATGAATTTGTCCGGGTAATTATATTGTTCGAGAACGCTCCGAAGGAAGCTCAACCCATCTAAGAGCGCGTCCGTTAGACAACGGACGAGGTTTCGCTCCTGACTTATTGGAACGAAACTGGCGAAGTGGATATAATGACCACTTCAAGGTTGCTTTCTCTGCACTCTACTGTCACGTCCGAAGTCCTCATGATCTGAAAGTCTAAGAATGGCAGGGAGGTGTTGCTTTCAAGTTCTATGCTGAACACTATGTTACTGTGTGCACCGTTGAAGTTTGCTAGCAGATCTTCTGTGCATACCCAGTTACCTGTAATGCAAAAGATATCGTCAACCTACCGGTCGTAGTACATGAGGCTGTTGATACATATATTTAACTTGGTTTTCTCCAACTTACTCATGAGGATATCAGTGAGTAGTGGTCCTAACGGTGAACCCATAAATACTCAGTGTATTTCTCTGTAAAGCGTCCCATTAAACTGGAACAATGTTCTTATTACATCCTAGAATTAGTTGATTCATTCGCTCATAGGGAATGTCGGTGTTTATGCGGTGCATTTGAATATAGTGGCATATAGTTGGTGAACAGTGAGACCACATCTAGCGCGAACATCTTCCCTCCAGTTAGCTCGAGTTGTCGCATTGAGTCAAAGAAATAGGAGGTATCTCAGAGGCTGTAGTTCGCTAAGGTTTTCCTGACTGTTTCGAGACGTTTGAAAAGTCACTTAGAGGTCAGATGATACGGAGAGTTGAACATGCTTAATATCGGCCTCAGCGGTACTCTTTGTTTGCGGATCTTAGGTAAGCCATAAAGCCTCGGAATCCTTGTTTCACTAGGTCTGGCGAATTCAAAATTAGCAGCATTATCTTGTCGAATGCGACGAAAAAGTGTGGTTATGGATTTCTCGATTGTGGGCGTCCTGTCCTCGTTTTTCACTTTTCGAAATTTTGTAGAATCTCCTAGGATGGTGTTCATGTTATCAATATAACCCGACGTGTTTATCAGTACAATCCCAGCTTCTCTATCCGATCTAGACAACAATACATCTTCGTTTTTCTCGTGTTCCTTCAAAGCATTTGAATGCCTATTTTTAGAAGATATTCGATGGTTGGTTTGTACCTCAGGTATTGGTAGTATGTGTTGACTAATGTTGATTTGCAGTGTTCTGCTGCTAATACGGAGGATAGTGTTACTGTGGAGACTTTTGAAATAGAGATTTTCGAATTGGATTTCCAAGTCTAGCTGTTGTACGTTGGTTCGCGGGCAACAGAATTTCAGACCCACTGAGAGGACTTCGAGTTGTGCTCTAACTACAAAGATGAGAAATTTTGCACGTATCTTTCTCGTACCACGTATCTTACTCAACTTATTTGAAGTGATTTGCCGCCGTAAGGAGGCTATTCGTACTTCCAATTATGGTGCCATAATTCACTGAACGAATAACACAAACTGCTTGTGGTCCCCAGCATACGATGTCGTCTATTAACGACAGCGAAAATGATCGCTATTCGGCTGTATAATCCCAACTTATGCGTCCAAAAGTAGTTCGTTCAGGCTCTTCAATTAAACCGGCCCCAAACCTCCCCATGCAACCTCAGTGCCTTTAACCCCTCTAGTAATGTTGCTCCAGTCAGTGTCATCACTTAATCTCATTGATCGGATAATTCACTCTATTGATTCATCGCATTTAAATGCCTTGTGTTAGTTGTATTCCTACTTGTCGTGGTGTAAACGCCTGAAGAAAACAACCGAAAACAACCATGTTCGCCTATATTTTACTTCTGAGGCCTTCAAATTACCGATACTTCGTGGACATTTAGGACTGGGTTCGACCTGTAGTTGGTTTGTTATCAGATGCCAAGTAACCATGCTTTCGTGGCAATTTTAGGCGGAACAGTATAAACTGGCGTTTACCATAACCAAAAGCCTTGTGGAAGCCACACGTTTCCCAGTCCCTTTGGGCAGAGAGATTTTGTTAGGTGGAATCTGGAAGGGATGAAACCGCCTTTTGCCCTTCTCTAGACAATCGTTTTACCGACCTGGGTGTACTCTTCTTGGAAGGGGGCATGGTTGTAACAAGTTAGTGGGTAGTGAGCGGTGCCATACCACATCCACAGTAACTGTCTCGTCGGCCGTTACGGTCCCCCCTAGCTTCACCAAAGACTGGTAACAGTCAAGTTGAGGTTTCCAGCCCTACGGGGGTCAGATGCAATGCGAATTGCTAACGATCACCGGAAGGATGCAACATATTGTTGTGTTACCACTGAGGCCTTCATCCCACGACTGCAAGCAGAAGTCCAAATACGAGCCGGAAAGAGACTTGTATACGTGAAATCACATTTGCTTATATAGTTTTGATTGCAAAATGTGGGGAAGCTACTAACTTACACTTGCGCCAACCAGCAGAAGGAAAAACGTCAAATGCAACGGGCGGATAAGCAACCATGTAATCAACAGCGAATCGTATATGTCCTTAAAAATAGCATCATGGGACCCCAAGCATAAAGCGAACATCCATCTACAGTGACGGACACTGGCCAATTAACAAAAAAGAAATGTAGCGTCTAAACAAATGTCACGAAACAAACGAGAATAAGAAGTTTAGACCCGCAAATTAAAAACTAGTCCAATAGTTGTGTGACAACTAAATATTCCTTTAACACAAGCAAGCAGAAAAGTGATGCGGAGAAAAACCAATGGAATATGTTCTTGCAAATGGCACTGCTGAAGATGACACGGAGGTGAGCGTTCAGTAACAATGACGTGCCCGATCCTGCTCAAACCAAACTATGTACCTCCTTTTGCTGGAATTCAACAAGTTATGAAGCAGCATTGCTAGGAATCAGCAGTACACCTATAGGCATTGTCAACAATTTGCTGCCACGCAAACATCCCCAGTCGCATGTGGGCTAAGGATACTGCGAGGGTTGCCCGGTCCCTATCCAGGCTCGAAGTCGCGCCCTCGGATTACAAGGCGGGCTTGTGATCATTAAGGCTAAGGGCCAGCAAGCAGCATCGCTGCTTGGAGTGCAACCGGTCATTCTTTTCTGTTCGCACATGCCATCCCTAAAATGCATGCACTGAAGCAGCCGTTTTCGGGATCAACCAGACATAATTAAATGGCGTGAAGACAAACAAGTCAGTTGTTAAAATTCCTTCGATATTCAGAACCTGAACCAGCACCTATTGGTACTGCTAAACATGACAGGAAGAAGAGTCATTACATCACCTGCACACAGAAGGAAGCAGCTTGATTTCTACTAGATACTATAAAATCCGCCTCCTTTTGTTACGTTAATCCAGACTCAAGCCCGACTATTCAACGCGAAGGATATACTTATTCATTTTCAGTAATCTCATGTCATCGGAAGCTTATTGCACACATTAGTCAACGTGATAGTCAATTCTAGCTTTTACGTAGTGAAACACCCATTTTAGCCCACCTTCACTCAGATAAGTTACTGCTCCAGCGTTAGACACCAAATACGCTTGAAGACTAACTCACTGTATGCCTATTCGAGCGACATTTCACTTCAGAGTGGAATGAACCCTTGGTGCTCATACCCGTTATTTGTTTTACGGTGTGGCCTGCTTAGCACTAGTAGTAGACTAGTCCCCATTACCTCGTGTTCCAGACAAACGGAATGAGATGAGTCAATACAGAATTATGGAATTTAGCTGAGAGGATGATTATCCGTCTGTGTGAACGCCCACCCAGGAAGTTCCGGATGCGTGAAACCACTAGCTTGCATACAGAAAATGCGGTCAAGTCTGTTGCTATCGCAGGCATTCGGTCACTACAATACTATGTTGTAGTGATTTTGAAGGAATTCAATAATTGTGTGATGAGTTAGCAGTGGAATGGACTCGTTGTTGCTTAGATTTCGTTTGTGCGGATGGAAAGCTATCTAGCGCTAGAATGCTAACTAGTTCACCATTCGCAACATTTGGCTGGACGGATGAGAACAATGGACAATGAACATTAGTTGTGTTGAGAAGAAGCTCGAACTGTATAAGTCTCTTTGGGTGACCTGACAAGTAGGTTTTATAACTAGTACCCAGCATATTACTTAACGCACATGAGATGCACATGTTCTGCTCTCCGTCTTGATCTGCAACACTAACGCACATGCTAGGAGAGATACTGCTTCCTTAATTCGGATGGTGGGGTGATTCTATATGACGACTTCTAGATGAGTGGGTGTGTGTACCTCGTCCAGAAAGATTTTATCCGTTAGGCTACTTTCGATGGAAGAGATACGCAGTGCATTGCACAGAGATCGCAGGTACACTTGACGTTTTCCCACGTGGAATTGTTGTGGGTTTCTGGCTGGCCACTGTTACACCCTTTCGAAGTCTCACCAGAACGATTGCTGATCAGCATTCATATTAACTGTTCATCATAGCTTCGTAGCGTCAACAATATGTAAGAAAGTGGCAATACTTTAATCGAGATCACTGATAGCTAATGAAAACAGACGTGGCCCTAAAACTGAATCCTGCGGCACGCTACATTCGACTTGTATGTGGTCGGACGAAGAGCTGCCAGCTTTATCATTCAAATGTCGCTGAGGAAAAATGTTGAACATCCAACTCAGTAGATCGCCGTAGCATAAGAGATTGGAAAAAGTCCCATAATCTAGGTGTCTGAACGCTTTCGTGGAATTCAAATAGGTCACTTAAGCGACCAGCATCATTAGTCCACTCCGTCCAATTTACCCGAACTTGCACTCGACGGAACTCACGTGGCTCGCGGATAAAGTCACAGATCCCCAAATAGACCATCAACCTATCTGTAAATATGGATTTCATGACTATGGACAACACCGCAAATAGCGCTTATTGGTAATAGTTCAAACTCTGCTTTAACACTTTTGTTTTGGATTGATCGTTCCAAGGTTCCACATGAGAGGAAGCTGGTTCTGATATGAACACAGCTAAAGAAATAGCCTAGGTTCTTCTATGTTCCTCGTCACGGCTCAAAGATCCTTTCAACCAATAATAATCAATCCACAAGGAATTTCTATACGTAGGAGCTCAGCTTTCCGACTACGTATTCAGCGGTACAAGTGAAGTTCTGAATCCGGTCAGTGACACTATAAAGAAGGAAGATCTCATTAAAACGCAGAAGTATACTGCCGTGTTCAAAAAAAAGCAAACTTTGCTTACCGTCTTTAGTTTTAACTGTACAACATTTCAAGCACTATCCCCGCAAAGTAGTTCCCTCTGCTAGCATCGTGCCTTTATCAATCGGGCTTCTATCTTTGGAAAGTCACTTGGGACGCATTTCCTGGGATGGCGGACAAGTCTTTTGTCGCATTGTCCTTATGCTCCTCTATGTTTTCGAAACGATCTCCTTTCAGCGTGATTTTAGGGTAAAGAAACGGGAATAGTTCTGTGGGGCTATGTCCAGATGATACCATGTATGGAGCAGAGTGAGAATTTGATGGTTTGCTGGATAGCTGTGGATAGTAAGTGATTCGTGAGCCGGCGCATTATCATGATGCAGCAATCAAGTCCGCACTGACACGACAAACCTCAGGTTTGTCACACAAAAGTGGATGGCATGATCCCAGCTGATACCCACTTCGTTACCCACTTTTCGAACAGTTAGACGACGAATTTTACGGATCACCCAGGAACGCTCTCGGTATGGTCATAGTATGTTAATGTGGAATGTCGTCCAAGCACGAAGTCCTCACCGACCAACTTGCTACCGTGGTTCAAAACGCTTAAACTACTCAAAGCATTACGTGAGACTCATACACTTTTCTTCGTATGATTGTCCGGCCAAATGAAATATCCCTGTAAATCTTTTAACAGGCTTGTCGCAGAAATCCATATATACCCACAATGTTCTTCAAGATCTTTCATTGTTACCTTGACACTAATCCGACGAGCAGCTTGTGCAACGGCTCACTTCAGTGGCAGTGACCTGCCAGCTAACAACCACAGCGAAACGCTGCAAGCGACAGTTTGTTGTCTAAAGATTCCTCTATGTGCGTGCAATAGCCGCAGTGCCGGTTCGCAATTTCAAAAGTTCCATTTCTTTTTGAACACAGTAGCACTTTATATACAGCGCGCCTGACACTTCTGTAACCGTGTCAGCGTCGCCGCGATTTTCAACGTATAGCAATAAAGGTATATGGGTAATGCTGAGGACTCTTGTTCCTTCCTGAGTCTGTAACGTCAGTTTTGTCGAACAAAATCCAATATTTGAGTTATGCTATCTTCTCGGTTGGGGATCTGGAGCAACAACAGTTATCACAGTAAAGCTTGCTTGCGTTACTTGAATAAAATTATGCTCTAAACTGACAACCTTTCCTATTTGGTCATAGCCGCACACATGATTTTGGAGATACGTGACTGTTTTAACTCCTCTTTCTGTAAGCAGTCCGGGTAATCGTGGAAGCATTTAGGCATTTGAAATGACGGGATCTAATAAAATCATAATATTTTAAGCTATTAGATATTTTGCCTTCTGGCGCAGCCAACTAGACTAAACTTGTGCAGTAAGCGAGTATACATATTTTCTGTCTATTCCGACTAGCTGTGGCAAGTCTATGTGTTCTCAGCGCGAGCGTCGATAATTTGTCTACTCGGCTGATGTCACTTTTTGATCGCTAGCTTCAGGAGTCTGCTAATCATTGCTGGGGGAGATGGGATGCGGGGTTTTAATCGCAATGCTAAGCTCACAGAGTGATGCACTGATGGAACGAGACGCGACTGTCACCAGTCCGTGCACACCTGGTCCACACGCTTCTCTCAAAGTCACCTTAGTGCTCCGTGGGTTGATACAATATGGGCCGGCTCTGATCAAAAGCTACCTTTTATCTGCATAGTTCCCGGTCCTATTCCTTTGGGTATACATCGAATGTTCGGTATGCAGCTGGAACTGCAGCGGCCCAGCGCAAGCCACCCCTGGCCTCTACATAGGTGTACGCACCCGGTGACTGTTCTCAGTTATAGCGACAAACCTCCCCTGTAAAAGATTCCAACTGCTGCTTCATGATCGAAGTCATAAACTAGATGTCGCACACAGTCCACCACAAGAGAGCAGAATAGCGGAGAGACAGACCAATCAAACCGAAAACCGGAAATCAGCGAAATGGAATTGGTGTGGAGAAGGCAAAAGAAAAACAAGTTATATGAAATTAATTCTTAATCGAAATATTCATAAAAGGACTTGTACTTGTTGGACCTCCACAAACCACCTCATACATGAGTGCAGCGAACATCATTTAATATTGAAAAAGCACAGGTTTAGTAGTACGGAAATTTAAACTTGCTCGACAAGATGTAACTCGATGGGAAACATCCATATCGAACTTGTTCCCTCCAACTTATGCATAATTTTAGCATGTATTTTGAAGACACGACCTAAGGCAAAATTCTCCCCAATAAAACAGTATTCTGAAAGACACCATCCAATTTTTTTATCATAATGTTCCAATAACATGGAATCTCCTCGCCCTCCACTCTATTCCATAATGTAGCTCAAATAACCATTCTCCTCTCTCTCTCTCTCTCTCGCTCTCTCTTAGAACGGATTCACCGCGTTACACATTGCAAGCAAGAAAGGAAGGACAGAGGCAGTGGATTTGTTACTGAAAAACGGGGCTTTCGCCGAGGCAGCAACCGAGGTAAATGGAAGCACCTTCAATCTGTTCATCCGTCATTTGTTAGCGAGGCTAGCCTTCTATTCAGTCGCAATCGCGGAATGACATTTATACTTTTAGACTGGAGTTGGCATTCTTTGGAACTAGTGTGACTTTCCAGCATCTGATTTATTAGTTTCGGCTCATGTGCGCTGTCAGTTTCAATTATTTCTGTAAACGGAATCCCGAGTTAATCTATTCACAGCTCTGACAATGAAATCCTGTCACACGTCGGGAATTCCAAGTTCCCACGGATAAATAAAACGTACCATTGCGGAGTACTACTGGACAAAGATACTTTGCATTATCAACCGGTTTCGCTTAAGATCAAACCGCTCGGTCGGTTACTTCACGTCGCTCAGCCCGAAAAGCGTTTAATCCTATTCTGCAAGTGGTCCACTCACACACTGTCCCACAGGTGACAATTCATACTGAAACTTCCGTTTGGAATACAAATGTGTCCAGGGAGTAGAAGCAGGCATGGACTATGGAGAATGTTTTAATCAGAAACAGAAGCTGTCCCTACCTGCATTTCCATGTGCACGTTGTGCTCAGGTCTTGTTTCCATATGAAAAAGGCCTAGAGTAAAGCTGGCGTCTTGTGTGCCCACCGCAGACATGTTGCCTCAGGTGTTACACAAATATTTTGTGTGTCAAATGAGTACGGGTAGATCCTGTCTTGGGCAGCAATCCCAAAATCTGGTATTAGGTAACAAAGAGTCATTTTGTACTGTACACAAAGTTGAACCACTGTCTTACTGCAGCGTATTCTCTCGATCTGTTGCTTGCTAGCTATCTGACTGAGTTCACTGCCTTGCGCTCGTCGTTCGTTCGTTGCTATTTGGGCAAATCCTAGCTTTATCGGAACAAATTTGCACATTGTTTGCAATACCCCAGTTCAATTCTGGGCTGTTTATCCGGTCCGCGAAAGTATGGTCAGTCTGCGTCGACGGCGCCGATTGGAGTTCCACCTGCTCGCAGCGTCTTGGACGCTCGCTCCGTCGAACACCGATCGCGGCACCACTCGCCGTCCGCCCAGGGCCAGCATCTCGCGAGCGCATCTCGCTTGGCTCTGTCTAGGACTAAATAGGTGCTTGACTCACAGCACAACAACACAATCCCTCACTGCTCATCCGGCCTGTGTAATCGTGGTCAGCTTGCACTCGCGACGCTGATTGACTTTCTAGTCCAGTGTCCGCGTGTCGGTTACACTCAGGTAGCCTGCCAAGTAGCATCACATCTTCTGGTCTTACTTTTCGAGCTTTAAGTGGATGTGGAGCAGCACAGCACAACTTTTCATCTTCCTCACTTAGGCGCAGGTGTCCCAGGGATGAGTCCGGTCATGGCGGCAGACAAATGCGGAAACGGATGATGACAGCACCTGATAGGTGCAGGTATGCAGTCGCAGTTCCCCAAGTTTTTCCATTAGTTTGTAGAGATTTCATGGTCCTTTTTGATTATTCTGCCCAGCATAACTATGGCTATGTCACTCCTCTCTTACAAATCTTTTTGGCAATTGGAAGCTAAGTCCAGACTGTACGAACTCATTGCGCTTGACGAAGTGGACTGCATACTACCCCGGATGGAGAACAATCCATCGTACTGATTTGAGTATAGTCACTTTAGGTTCGTAGGGCCACTCTGAAGTTAAGTATGCAACTTATCACTTTAGTTCGGAATGCTCTAGGTAGGTATGCAGCTTTGAGAGCAGTAAGTAGCATCTATACAAGCATCGAGCCTGTGGTTGTACTGCTCTCCGGTAAGTAGTGAAAGAATTCATTTCCATGTTCCAATGTGATACAAAATAAGAAGGGGATTTTGGCACAAGCAAAAGAACTTTTGGAAGTAACCATGATCCCTATTCTTGAGACTGAAGCAAGGCTTCTCCTATCTCCAAACGTGTTTTGCGACACTCGAGTATGAAAATCTTAAAAAAGAAGCAAAAGCTGTCTGTAGCCGTGCGCCAATGTCACTCAAATTAATGGGCATAAGCAAGGCGAACCAGCTAACAATTCACTTGATAATTAAAGCAAGTATTATTGTTATTAATAATAATGTTATTATTATTAGTTGTAGTAGTAGTAGTGGTGGTGGTAGTAGTAGTACAAGCAGCAGTCTATTGAATAGCCGTAGCTGCAAACAAAACCATGGAAATCACTAGAAGAACACAGGCTTAATCAACGCATCATCATCATGACCCATTGGCTGAAGGTGAGCAACACACTTCAGCCTTTGTGCCGCAATGACAGCAAAAAAGGAGCTTTTTTGTCATTTTGCACACGTCATCTTTTCCTTTTTGGTCTTTTTCAATCGTTAAGCATTAAGCATCCAAATCTAAACCATTATGTGTACACATCCTCCACTGGTCTCCATTGCGCGCCATATCCTGAATTGTTCGCAGTCACCGGCACCCTTCATCCTTTGGTTCCCAACCAGGCAGGCGTGTGGATCCAGATGTGGCTGACGCCAGGTGGACGGCTGACCGCCACGTGGTCTTTTCCAACCAAGTCCTGCGCGAGCGAAAAGTGCGCAATGGGGCAAACGCTTAGCTGACATACGCAGGACGCGACCTAGCCATGTTAACTGGAGCAGCAAAATCAGCTTGTTGATGGGACTACTTGCATTACATAAGACACGACGTCTTAATTCACAGTTGTAAATACGTTGTTGCCTCCTCAAGCACCCATTGTCGAATGCCAAGACCCGGTACATGTGGTCTACGCGAACTGACCATGACTCGCCCCCGTATAGCAACACCGCCCCAACAATGGCATTGTAAACACAACCCTTTACCAAGAGGGGGACTTCCCAACGACGGCATAAGTGTTCCAAGTTGATAAACGCTGGCAGAGCTTTGGCGATGCGAAGCGAAACTTCATTTTCAATGGTACCACCACCAGACACAGCTGCCTAGGTAGAAAAGATATAATAAAAATAAATAAATAAAGTAATGTGTCAGCTGTACGCCGTAACGGCGCTTCGCTGCCGTGCGATCACCGCCAATCACGTGAGGTCTGAGTATAGCATGAGGACGACCAACCCTACGCGGATTCGAACCCGCGCCGTAAGGTTATGAGACAAGATCGTTACCACTAGGCTACGGGCCGACAGACAAAGCTATTCACTTCTCGAAGTTGTGTACTTTCAATAGTGAGCACGCAGACGGTCGAGTGCAAATCTTGAAGCAGCACTTTACACTTTGACTGGCAAGGCACATCGCGTACCTAAATGCTTCAATCGCCAAACGGTCTAGAAGCAAGGCTGGTCCTCAGCCACAGATAACGAAGTTAGCGCGAATACCAGTCGGACGTGTCACAGTTAGCTTCGTCAGTGATAATTCCTTGCACGCTACAAGTGGCATAGTAACTGCGGAACTCTGAAAACCTTCTGAGTATTGGATAATTGTCGGATTCGGACGAATTATTTCTTCAAATTTCTTGTCGCTTTTGAAGTGACGCCAGAAAATGTAGGTCGACATAGGTCGGTACAGGAAGAAAGAAAACTTGGTTCCAGTTTGCGAGAGAACAAGCGGTTTATATGCGTGTAAATCGCTTATGCGAGTGCGTTATATAACTATTGTCTGGGCTGAGTTGAATCGCAGGGGGGCCCAACAACAATAGGTGCGGAAAGCCAACCGACTCTGGCATCGCAATTGGAATTCGATGGTGGGATTCTTACACCAAATATGCGAAAGCCAGATACTAAATATTACTGAGTGGAAGAAAGTAAATAAAACAAGAAATATAGTGCTAAATATCATATTAAGCTCAGAGTGTGAGAAGCTAAGGTGGTTAAGCGAGAGGGATGGGACAAAGTAACTCACTACACAAACGCTATCGAGGTCGACTCTTCGCAATATCAGGAGGCGTATCCTAGCAAACGTATTCATTGTCCTCGGGACCCCAACCCCGCAATCGGGTGACACCAACCCACATCAATTTCGAAGTGAGGGAGCTCATTCCTCTCGGCCAGGTCGTCCCTTGGCCTCCCCTCCTCTTCTTCCATCCACACCTCCAGCGCACAAACAACGCACATCGCGGGAGTCGGTGTGCTGTCATTCGCAACACGTGGTACAACCATCGGAGCTTGGTGCGTGATAAAACTGTGCTGAGTGGTTAACTCGCTAGTCTTGGATCAAAGAGGAAACATTGATAGACTCATTGCTCACACGGTATTCCTACCAGACATGAGCTAAACTGCGAAGGTATCGATTGTCGAACATAACTAGCCTTTTTTGTTATGCCTATCTGAAGTACCAGGTTTCACAACTGTACCAGAGGGTTGAACGGACGGCTGTACTGAAAACTCTGCCCTTCAGTGCATGTGTTGTCTCGCCGGCTCCACAAGTGGCGGAGATTGGCAAACGCGTTCTACTATACAGTTGGCGATCTCATATTCGATCCCTCGGGCCCTAACAAAGCTGCCTAGATGAATATCTAAACGACTTCCAGTTGATACTCATCAAGGATCAACACAGCTGCTGGTCCTTACCAACCTTAGAGAAGGACTGGATTTCGTGTGTGCAAAGCATAATCCAAAACGATTGACAGTCTGTGCTAAGTTGTCCAGTGCTGAGTGGCACGTTTGGGAGCTACCATAGATTAGGGCAATGTCATCGACGTACTCTGAGTTAAGAAGTCGATCACCTGGGAGCCGCTCCTCAACTTGTAAGTCTTGCCCGGTGAACACAGTCTCCAGGACTTCCTCAATGACGAAGTTAAAAAGGAAGTGCATCAGCTGGTAACCTTGTCGCATGCCGCTGGAGACATTGAAGGGCTGCGACAGTTTGCCATAAGCATTCACTCTACCCGAACTACGCGGGTACAGCGGTCTTACGACATTTACCTATTTATCGAACACACCTTTCATGAGCGAACAGTTCCAAAGAGCACATCAATCCACCGAGTCGAAGGCACCTTCGATTTCGATGAAGACGACTACGGCGGGTCGTTAATAAATATGGCTTTATTCTAACAACTGAGGTAA